TTATTAATCAATATTTCATCCATGAGCACTTACATCAAATAAAAACTTAAGTTTACTTTCACGTGTATTAAATTCTGTTGTTGATTTTGCTTTTTCACGACGAAATGTAGCAAGAAGAAAAATAAATTGTTTAAAGTTAATTTTATTATTTTCACCATAATCTTCCACAATAACATCAATTAAACGTTCTCCTAATGGATTGATATTTACCTGAATACATATAAAAAAAATACTTCAAAGAAAATAATAAATTGTTATTAATTACTTCTGGAATGCACAAGAGATCTTCGCGTGTTAAAAATCCACAATCACGTTTATCCAATGTTTTAAAACGACTGTACAAACGTTGTACTTCTTTGGTAGTGAAACCTATGACATAAATTATTAGACTAGAAAAATCTATTCTTTGTAGGGAACTTGAATCGATAAAATTAAGTCTGCGGATTTCTGTATGAAAACAAAAAACACATGTAAGTTTCATATTTCAGCTAAAAATCAGTTGTCTTGACTGTGTGTAGCGTAACCAGAAAAAAGTTATAGGGATAGCTTAACCCCCCTGACCATGCCTGTAAAGAGGACAAAAGCTCAAACCTTTTTTTGAGCAAAACTCAACAGTGTTTAATGGGGCAGTTGAGTCCTCATCTATTTTTGTCAGTAAGCAATAGCATGCAGAGACCTTTCGTACACTTTTATGTCTTCTATGATTAGTATTCCTGGGCATCGTTGACCAACCTGTCTGTTGACATATATTCTGCAAGTCTTCTTGTTGAAGCATAATACTGGCATTGGAGCCCATTGTGAATGGAAATATTAATCTAGAAGAAATTGAGACAACGAGAGAAATCAAGCTTATTCCGAAGTAAAATGAAGTTATAAGTTTTTGATATTAAACACCAGAGTAACATATATCACTATGAACATTCAAGTATTCTCTTTTTTTTTCATCATGAAGCTGATTTATAAATGTAGTTATTTTCTTTTTTTGTCAATGTTGTTATTTACCATAGTGGCATGAAGTAGTCATCAAACGTTTTGATCATTAACAAGGAACAACAACAATAATGCGTAACAACGGGTTTGATTAAAAAAGAAACGCTGGGCGGTGAAAAGAAAGAAAAAAAGAACATGTTCCTAAAACACACAGAACACACACTAAGTTCAATGCCGTTCTCTTATTTGTTATTTGATCATTCTTCAGATTCGCCGGGTAAACGAATATCATCAATTTTAAGAATCATTCGAACAAGTTGAGTTGCTAAACTTATCTGTTGTCGTTTACCAATAAGTGTTTCAATAACTAATTGTGTTTTCATATCTAAATAAAATCAATGTCAATGCCAAAGACAAGAACTAATTTCAAATAAAACTTACCATTCGTTCCCTTATTAAGACAATCAATACCTAATCGTGGATTATTCTCTGCAATTTGTTGTGATTTAACATCAGATACAATTTTAATTGGTGAAAAACCACTATTTTCAGCTAATGCTAATGGAACAGATTCAAGTGCATCAGCAAATGCTCGAATAGCATACTGTTCAATTGTCGGAATCTAATAAAAAGAAAAGAAACCAAATAACATATAATAAAATGAATAAATTTGGGAGAAATTTCTCTTCAAACCTGATTTGCTTCTTTAGCTACTTCAATAGCACATGCAATTTCACATGCACCACCACCATAAACAATTCGATTGTCACGTACAAGATTTCGTACAACACATAATGCATCATGTAATGCACGTTTTGCTTCTTCGACAACCTAAATTTTATTTTAGTTTGACAATAAAATAAAATAAAAACAAGTTTTATGTCAAAGATTAAATAATTACCATTTTATTGCCACCACGAACAAAGATAGTACATGTATTCGACTTTTTGCATTGTTCAATACATAACATATGATCACTTGTTGTACCAAAATCAAGTTCACGTATATAACCTGCATATCCTAATTTTTCAGCTGTAAGTTCTTGAAATCGTGGTACAATACGACCACCAGTTGCAATGGCAATTAATTCAATTTCTGGGCCACCAACCCAACGAACTGCTGGTAATTCATGAGTAAGAAGTAAATGATTTGCTTCATCATCAAAACCCCATTGACAAATAACTAAATTAGCACCTGAATCTTTAATCTATGAAATAAAAAATAAATAAAAATGAATCTTAAAGGATTTTCTTTTTTTTTTGTTTTTACATACTGATTTAATCATTTCAGTAAATTTTTCTTTTTCATATTCGCGTAATTTTTTATAATCTTCTACATTAGTTATATCTAATTTATGTTTAGTTTTTGGTTTTGGTGGTTCAAATGGACATGTTAAAATAGCTATTTTAGCATCACGAACTTCCTATAAATATACAATACTATAAGATAAAAAAAATATGATAATAAAATCTAACCTTAGGCATTTGAGGATGAGAAAATGTTTTGTCAACCACAACACCTTTGACTAAAAGTGTATCTTCTAAACGACCGCCTACTTTTCCTTGTACTTTAATAAGTTCAAAATTAACATCACGTCGTTCCATATCAGCGACATTCATAATTGCATTGACAGCTATTTCAGCCATTTGACGTTGACATCGATTAATACTAATTTAGGAAAAAATACATAATGAGTTAGTTTTTTTATACAACACTTGATTGATCGAATATGAAATTAGCAATTGTGTCCTCAGGTTTTGTTTAAGAGTAGTGAAATAATCCTTGAAAAGCTCAAAAAACTTAGCTTGGATGGAAATTTTTTCTATTTTAACTACTCAAATAGATAAACATATAGCTTTTGGCACAGAATTGATTTTAGAAAAATTGTGCCTTATTGTTTACGTAATGTGTTATCTTAGTACAACTTTTTGGCAAGAAGATTTTTAATATCCAAAAACGGTCAACTTTTTGTTTTCAAAACAATGGATAAACTTTAACGTTATTCAAATGCGCACATATTGTATATGATAGCTTTTAACTTTCCACGAAATCACATTATGCATCAATAAACAGTGTTTATCTTTTGCCGCTACAAAGTTGTTACTACTTAGAGAATAATGTCTCTACATTAAGAAATATATATACTTGATAGAAGAAAAAGATAGGTATTGTCACAAACTAACTGCATAAAGAAAGGCATATGATCAATAAGAAGCAGCCGGTACATCCACCCTTATATTTTGACAGCCCGATAATAAAGAAAAAATACATATATGTTAAAGAAATGTCGTTCTGTCCTAAAAAAACAGAATATTAATCCATTATGCCCTGTTAGATCATTTTTGACTCCGGCGTAGAAACCATATACGGACTGAAATATCTGACTCAAAAGATAAGGAATAAAGGATTAATTTTTTACAAATTTCTAGTTTATTATATTCTCTGAACAACGTTCAATAAGTTTTTTTTTAGAGTCTTCTTGATTCAATGCTTTGTGGCCTGATACTATAGTTTCTAAGAAGGAATGAAACATGATTCGCTCAGAAGATAAAGGATTGCACGAAGAAAAATGAATTCATATTAAAATGAAGTATGCATGTTCCTATTTTATGAATTGAACACTCGATGGAGAACAGATGTTTTGTGTAAGACTCCGTTTTCTATTGTGATCAGGATGCTGAAAGTACTGTCATAAGTGTTGCACTGATACTTGTTTTGATAATCCTTGTCAAACTCATCTATGGTAATAATTTCAATTAGAGAAATAAAAATGTTTTGAAGCACAATCATTTTTATTAAAAGTAACCTTTGAATTCAGGCTTCTTCTGCCCTAAAAAAAAACTCGATTTTTGTCAAAAAAAACTGAAAATTAAGAGCAATACATTCAGAAAAAAAGTGAGACAAGTTTTTGTGTTTTTTCTGTTTATACTTTTTGATCACGCAAGTCGAGTACCTTTTTTAATTAAGTTTTGTTTTTTATGAAATATACAAAAACTTATAACAATACACAGCCATTTTTAGAAAGATTTCGAGATCTTCAAATTTTGATTCCTTTTTTCACCGCATAAAAAGTAAGAACTTAAAAAACGGGTAACTATACTATTATGTTTTCTACGATAGTTGTTTGTACCTGCATGTTAATGTATAGTTGTCGTGTGACGTTTATCTATAGCAAGTTCAAAAAACATGAAAAAACGGTATGTCTATCTACTTGCATATTACGAGTTGACATTGAATATCCTAGGGTCCTTATTTATATATCATCTTGTAGATGAAAAGCTAGCCTACTACAAAACGATCGATTCCAAGAATTTTTAGCATGTTTAAACAGAATTTTATAAGATAAACAAAAACCTGTTGACTCATCATTGTCAGATCTCTCGAAAAGGCTCTCAATACTCTTGAACAAAAACTAGAACATTCTACTTTCTAGTGAGTCAAAAATGAACAAGTATCTTGTCTACAAAAACTTTCCGATCATCTGTTAAATAAATGTAAACTTACATTTTTGAACCAAGTGTTGTCATAGCTGTATTAATCAATGGATCAAGTTTTGTTAAATCAAGAGGATAAGCTTCAGCAATTTTATCCAAATGATCAAGTGCTATTTTTGCAGCTAATTCATAACCATCAGCAATACGAATTGGATGAATGCCTTTATCAAGAAGTGCTTCTGCATATTCCAGTAATGCACCAGCCAAAACTATTTATTATTAATTATAATTTTTCAATTTGATTATCAAAACAAAACTTACCCACAACACCTGTTGTTCCATCACCAATTTCATCATCTTGTGATTTTGATAATTGAACAAGTAATTTTCCAATTTCATTTTCCACATGCATCATACTAAGAATTGTTGCACCATCATTTGTTATTGTTATATCACCATCGGGTGATACCATACATTTATCCATACCTTTAAAATAAAATAAAACATTATCAATTGAAATTAACATCCATTTTTTTTTACCTCGTGGACCTAACGATGTTTTAAGTGTATCGGCCACTGCTTTGCCCGCCAAAATATGAGACTAAAATAAAAATAATATCTTATGTTTACGTACAACAAACTGAACATTAGTCGATTTTTCTATCGGAAAGTAAATAATAAAAGTTTGGTGTTTATTCTTTAATAAAATTAATTGATAATAAAATGTAAATCTTCTTTTGTTTTAAGGAGATCGTAGAATGAGACAAATATTTAAAAAATTATGAACCTTGTGTGCTTCAATACCAAACAGACGCTTTTTTGACTCTTGTCCTTTGAGGATAAGTACAGGACGACCAAATTCGTCGAAAGCAAGTGTTCCTACAGACGGCATTTTGACTGATTGATCTAGATTGAACTAAATTAATATTAGACAATAATGAATGAATAAAGACAGACGAAAAAAAAATAAGCGATGACTATATATCACCACGACTGCAGCATTGTTTGTTTATTCAAAATTCTGTTGCCTTCTTACGTTGACTATTGGTGAATCGATTGATTGTTAATTTTAAAATGTTTAATATATATATTTATTTTGTTCAAAGATGAATATATAAATGTTTCTTGATTATAATCGATTTGAAAAGTAAGTTCAATGTTTGTAAAATCAACTTTTTTTTATAGAGGTCCTTGCTTAGCAACATACAGATGTTGTTTTCAACGGCAGATGGCGTATTTATTTATCAGTTATTTTTTTCAGCAATTCGTTAATTATTTAAATAAATAAATAGACAATAGGTCAAATAGTCCAAATCCATTATTATTCATGATTTTGTGCAGAGAAAATAATTTTCAAAAAATAATTTTTCATATTTCAGCAGCAAAGACACTTCACAGTAATTTACATGAAACATTCACGTTGAGCAAAAGATAACAGAAACAAAATTACTTAGTTCAATGATCAAGGGGAGAAAACATAATATAGAAGATTGCAAATAGCGAGAAAACTTTGTTATGTTAATATTTTTCAATACATTTGGCTAAGCGTTTATCAATATTCATAGCATATACACATAAACTATGTGATATTTAGTGAATGCAATAGTCAATACCCAGAAAACTGACTGATTGACATTTTTCTCAGTCCTCATTTGCTCAAACTAAAGTAAGAATATAAATTGACAAACAAAAGTACAAGATGATGATTATATGAATGATAGAAAATTTTCGATATCTCCTAATTAGGCTCTTTGCAATGAGTTGTTCAATACGTCTAATGCACAAAAAATTGCCATGATATTTTGTCATCATGATTGATAATGATTTGCATTGATACCTCACCTCTTAATTTATAAAAGCAATCTTTTTTTTTCTGTTCGTTTTGATTTTTAAGTTTTTCAAAATATCGATACTATCATTGAGTTGTTCATATATAAAATAATATCAATTAATGATAACTGTTTAATCAGACATGGGTTCAAGGAACAAAAGATCCTTTAACAGTCATAACATGAATTGGTAAACAATTTCGGTAGAGCAATTCATGATTTTTGATTCCACACATTGTATATTAAAGATTGGACGACCAAATGAATTAGGTTGAAGGTATACGTCAATGAAAAGGACACTCTGCCCAAGCACTCAATCTATGCGATGCGAATGCGTTATGCCAATAAACGAATAAACATAATAGAGCAGTAATCTGGAATACATGATTTTAAGACATCAGACTTCTTCGGACCTGGAAGAATAACTACTTTTACAAAAAAAAAGCTAAAAATTCAAACAAACTATGAATCTTTTAGTGGCAACTAACGGCATCTACTAAAAACTTCCGTATTCTTGCTTTAATACAAATCGAATGGTAAGTTCTCCAGTCACATTTACTTTATGCTGCTCAATAAAACTAACTCCAATTGGTTTATTGAATATGCGAGCAATCATACAATATATATGGTCGAAGAGACAAATAGGTATGAATAAATCACTTTTTTCTGGACCAAAGGAAATAAATAAAACGTCACTACGGTTTAGATATCGAAGACATGAAAAAAAGTTTTATCTCTTTGCTACTAAATTTATCTTGTTAACCGCTGCTTACCATAAAAACTTGACATAGCACTATTTATCAACGAATCAAAAGCAAATAAAATTTTACTGGGTTTTTTCCCAGTGGAATGAATCTATATATATCCAGTTCTGCCACATGTAATTGTATTCATCATGTTATTTCTTCACAGGTAATTTTCATTATGAAAGTGTTTTATGCACGATTAATTAGGTAATAGTAAAAATAGTAGTTTTAGAATGCTATAATAGATATCGATAACATACAAATGTAATTTTATAAATGATGTTAACATGAAACATTTTTGTATGAGTGAATAATAAGATATGAATTGCCAATTCGTGGAATTCGAGTGAATTCGAATTCTGTCCTATTACAGTTTTCTAAAAGTTGTATCTTAGAGGAAAATAGCTTCTATTATAGAAATTTTCATCGAAAATGTGTTGCTTGATTGGTTGATAGAATATAAAACCAATTGAGTTAAGCATGTCTATGAGATATTTTTCATATATACTGGTAGGTACGGGCGAACTACAAAACCTCTAGAAAGAACTTGTTCCACGAACAAGATATCATTTTTTGAATAATATCTTACAAAATTCTTCAATGCAGAAAAGATTATTATTGAAATTCTCACAGCAACACTCAATCTATGATCCACAATTCATGTTATGTTTTCATCCTTTTTTTTTCTTTATCACTTCAATGCTTATCTATATGAAGAATACATAATATAGAGTATGCTCTGAATTAAGAATTATTTCATGGACTTAATGTCAAAAGTTTTCGAAGAATATAAATCATTGAGACAGTTATATTATACCTATGAATCAATGTTGAAATAGTTAAGCAGTAAGAGTATTATCGATAGGTTTTATAAATGACATGAATTTTAGACTAGATTATTTAACTTTGTTTTACTATCCTTTTAACGAGAATTCTTACTCTTCATAAAATGTTGTAGAGCAGCATGAATATAGCACACTGTAAGAAGCATGTCCAATACTATTGAAATGTAACTTGCTTCTAACACTCATGAATGTAATTAATACAAATCTTTATAATCAATATCAAAGAGACACTTCTATTACTGAATTCGGTGGATTTTCATCCATCGACTAAAGTGCATGGAACGTATTGTAGAAAGTCCTATTGACGAACTTCGAATGATCGATTTGAGGTTTATTAAAAGTTTGTTGTTTTCCTTTTAGATTCTCTTAAAATATCGAGATCCACAACAATAATGAATCGAACAGAAGCACTCAAGAAAATTCAAACTGCTTGTGGTTATTCTTTCAAAAACATTAAACTTCTGGAAGAAGCTTTAACACACGACAGTAATCGAGTAAATGATCGTAGTGTACCTACATATCAAAGACTTGAATTTCTCGGTGATAGTGTGTTAAGTTTAGTGGTCAGTGAATATATATATCGTACTAATCAAGATTTCAATGAAGGTCAATTGACAAATAAACGAAAAGAGCTCACTGAAGCTGTGAAACAAATACAAATCGCCGAAAAACTCAATATCAAGGACTATATCACATTCGGACAGAGTGTTCGAAGGGAACAATTTTCTAAGTATCACAGTTTTGTGGAATCGTTAATTGGTGCTGTTTATATTGATGGTGGCTTAGAAGAAACACGTCGGCTTATTCATCGACTTTGGGAATTGAGTGGCAATACCAACGTAGCTGATAATCGCAATGGCTGTGTAATATCATAGGTTTCCATTCATTGCAATTAAATTGGAATGAAGTTTGATCAATGATTTCAGAACCATGAAAACTCAAACTGAATTTTTTTTTTGACTATTGAAATTGATTTATTTTTATATTTATTTCAAATGAGTATATAGACGTCAATAAAAACCGTTCGAACCTTATCTTATGGAATCAAGAAAACATAAGAGGAAAAGAACTTTTAAAAAAGATTACCTTGGTACTTTTTAGATGATTTCGATCTTATATCATTGTAATAATGTGATTTTAAGAAAAAAAAAATCAATTTAGTAATCATTTGAGTTAAATATAATAAAGTAAATGCTGAAATACTGATTTGTAATAAATCTTAAAGTTGAGACTATATTAGATATTCTTGCAATATCAATATAAAATGAAGTAGCAATTTTTCTAAAAAGATTTCATTGATTAACAAAATACTGAAATTATAACTCTAAGTTTTATTAAAATATTTTTCTTCGTCGTTTTCTTTCTGTTGTTTTTTTTATTTTATTTTTCTACAACAATTTTGACTATATAAATCTGTCTATTTTGATCATCATTCCGATAAGTATGTTAATTCCTATTGCATATCGTCTATAGGATGTATGAAACCATTTAGTTTATTGTTGTACTTTTGAGTACCCATCCTTCCCATAATTTACTATAGTGAAATAAAATTTTATGTGTTCTTTCCAATGCTTGTTCTATCTGACAATAAATACACGATGATTCTGTTAAAAGACCAGTGTGTGTAGCAAATTGAATGATTCGAAAATATTGTATCATACGATTCAGTATAAGAGCAGGTAATATTTCAAATTCACATCCTTCACAGTTTATACTAATCATATCGATTATTCCATTTTTCGTTCTAGTTTCTCTTATATGTCTTATAACTTCAACAATATCGAGAAGTCGAATCTTTTGAATATTTGATGAATTTGTTGCGGAAAGTGTTCGAAAAATACTTGTACCAGCATTACCAACATCGTATGGTTCAATCAATAAACTTTTTGCACGACTACCAAGTCCATATGGATGAATTTCTATTTTTGGATTTGATTTAAATTGTTTCGTAAGATCTTCCCACATTGATAACAGCGGTTCATAACTAATTATTGATGCATTATATAATTCAATAAATTTAATTGTATCATGTCCACGATTTCCACCAACTTCAATGATAAGTGAAGTAGAATTCAATAGATTTTTATGCGCTGTATGACGTACTCCTTCGACAGCCCAAAAACGTCCGTTTGGAACCCATAACAGACATTCTTGATATTTTGAAACATTTATATATGATAAATTTTGCCATGTTTGACAAGTAAAATTTTCGTAAATAATAGTCGATGTTAACAAAAATTGATTGAAAAATAATCTAAGGTCGTTATCTGAGTTTAGAAATAATAATATTAGAAGAAATATCATTCCACTTGATACAAAAAACATGAATTTCTTAAATGAGATCATTACAAATAAAAAGGGATTTTTCCAACATGAGATAATATTCATTTGATGAAAATTTGTATAATTGTAAATAAGATTAACAATAGGTTTATTTTCTAGATTTTTATTGACTCTTATATTGTTTGAAATGATTATATTTACTATCTGAAAATGTATATATAATAATTCATGCGTATAATAAACTACATGTAGAAAACAAAACTGAAATCACGTGACTAACACAGGTTTATTGTAAATATTATTTTTAGACGAAAAACTCCGCTATTTCTGTTTAATATTCCTTTTCATATATGTTTCGGAGAATATGTAAACTTTAATCCTCCGATAAAATAGAAAAGAAAACACGTTTTTCCAGAAAATGAACGATGATAGCAGAGGTAAAGTGTTGGTAGGAACACGTGCAACACCTATTGATATTAATTTTATCAAATAACTTTTTTCAGTGTCATAAAATCTAATATCTCATCATATAATGTTTAAACTGTCTTAAATGTATTACGATTGATAATGTTTCTTTTTCCTATGTTGATGAAAAGCTTTATGTAGCAGATATCTGTTCTCTGTCTTTTGTAAAGTATTTTAATAAAGAAAAACAGACAATGACGGTCATTAAATGCTATTACGATTGATGTATGTGTCGTTTGTAAGATCTGTTACTTTTATAAACGCTGGTTTCGAAAAAAATACTAGAAGAGTTTCTTTTTTTCCAATAGCGTTGCTCGTTGTTTATTATCAGATGTAACAAATGAAAGTATTTCTTAATTTTTCTCGATAATTAGTAAAGAAGCATTAATATTACTTTTTTTTTAAAGAATTTAGTTTCTGTAAAAGCTTCATTTTTATTTTCATGTCTATGTTCGACATTGTTATAAACTTGCTTACTTACAGTTTATTGGTATTGCAAGTTGTTAAATATAAAATAAATCATACTGTACCCAATGAATAAAAAAATGGTAAACGATGATGTTAAACGAAAAAAAAACATCTTTCGATCATGAAACGGACATTATTTTGCTATGTTTTTTTAATTCATGGATGAAAATCAGTAAAAATGCACAAAAATCTAGTGATGAAAAATAGAAATAATTTTTATTGCACTGAACTTAACTATTCCACCGAGAGGCTAGTTGTACTCAAACTTTTATACAAGTCTGGGCTGGCTGCTCTTAAAAGAGCTATGTGGTGATACTTTCAAAAGTTCATTTCACTCTAGTTTTTACATAAAGTGGTATGTGACAGGACAAATTTGTAGATAAGACTTGAATTAATCACTAATAGTCAATTGATGTTGAGTGTTTTAAATGTAAAGGTAATGGAATTCATCTATTGATGATTCATCGTTTGCGAAATAATCGAAACCACAGAACGAAAATGATACAAAAGTAATGCATGGATTTTCGTTTTTCAAAACAATCAAAATCATATAATGAAAATGATGTGAAAATAATCGAAGCAATGCGATGATTCTACTTCATGCGAAATAATGAAATCAACATAATGATTTTCGTTTTGCGAAGTAATTAAAATGATGAAATGAAAGTAATGTGAAAGTAATCGCAGCAGTATGATGCTTCTAACTTTTTCGAAATCATGAGAATAATGCCATGAAAAGTGTGTTGAAATAATGTGTATTGACTTTAATGTTTCTGAAGTAACGAAAAGCATGAAAATTTTTGTATAACAATTTAAAAAATTACTATATCGATGATTTTTTTCAATTTCTATGCTCTCTGGATACTGTTTGTGTTTTGAGTAACAATTTATTCTATAAATACAACTGCTGTTTGAATAATTCAAAAAGATTACCCTCTTCGCAAAAATACTTTTCTTATAGCTCACATTTCAGGTGTTAATGCATTGAAATCTTATCAGGTTTTGACTAGCAGAAGCAGCGTAGTTCATTTTTTGTGGATGACTCATGGTACGATATTCGGAAGAAAAATGATAAATGAACAGTTTTCACATATTATAAGTCAGTTCTGTTTGTTAGAAACTCATATACCTAAGTACAGTAAAAAATTTATTCCTTATGAGAATGAAGGGAAAACGCTCTACCATAAATCTGCAATAAAGCAAAAAAAAATACTTCATGAGCAGACAATTCACCAGAAAACTTCTATGGCATACGTTCTGCTAACTGCTCTTATACTTCTTCGTTTATAAAGAAGAAAACCAAAGACATCACATGAATTCAAACTGAAGGAAATCATTTCATTGATATTACTACCTGGAAACACTAATTTGAATTGTTTTATTAAGTTTCAATTCATGTCACATGTAGTAGGTCATTCACTTTTACTACATCATAGTGCAGTTAATATTATACAGAAAAGAAAACTATTTCTAAATCGATGACACTAGCAAGTAACTTAGTTGACTTTCTCTGATCAGGTCTTAGAGAATCCCTACAATGAGGGTATGAATGAAGAAAAGATTGTCACCTCATCAATACTTGTGTATGAACACTCCAAGGTAAAAAAAATCTAATGTGAGTGTTTCGAAGTACCAATCAAGTACGCTACATTCGTGTATTTTGCTCTTATCTACGCTGACATCTATGAAATATTGAAATTCATCGGATTTATTATCTCTCTTAGTTCTATTATTTTATTCGCATATCTTTTTAAAAAATTATTCTTATTTAAAATATTGATAGCAATTTAAATAGATATTCAATCTGAGAGAAAAAAGATATCGAAATAGGAACTATCAAAATGGACTTTCATCGAAAACGTTACGCATTCAAATATGTGTACACTTTACTGAGCAATACATAGATTGTGTTTATATGTACATGAGCTGGTGAATAACGCTGATTGAATCAGTAAAACTTATGACGCTCATTTGAAATAACTTACAGGAAGACTTATCAAATTAAATAATATATAAATGAGATTACGTATTGAGTCTAATTTTAGTCTTGTTAGGAATTCTATTAGCGTTCGCTTCATTCATTTGCCTCAAAAATGTTTGTATCGAAAAGAATACATCTACAGTTTTAGAAAATCAAATGTGAACACATTCATAATTATAGGAATGGAATAAATAATCATATTTTCAAAGCGAAATTTAGGCTCATTGTCAATATCTGCCAATTTGATACCTGTTTCTTCCATTGGTTCTAAATTCATAGTGGAAGAGTAAGTAGTAAATAGCATGAACAAAATATTGTTCATGAAATAAGGACGGAATTCAGAATTTTTTTTAATTCGTTTTCTACTAAGTCATTATTATCGTTTAACCAAATTTTATGTGTATTTTTAGTAGATGATCATGATACGGATGTTTCATTAAAAGTAGTTCCAATAATTTTACTGCACGAAGTTCATTGTTGTTTGAATATTCTGCTATTAAGTCGATTCATTCTTACATAGAAAACAAATATGTCAGTAATTCATCTAAAATGTACAAGGAAATTAAATGATTCATTTTATACCAAAACCATTGCTGTTCTTCAAATGTCCTGAGAAAAAACGTCCTTGATATGAACTATAACAAAGGTTAAGTTTGACTTTTATTATTGTTTGAAATTTTTGTTTGTCTCATAATAGAATGAAAAAGAAATTGAATTGTTTAGAAGTGCGCTGAGTCGGATACTAGTTAAAACGAGTTTATTTGATATTTGTATATCTTCGAAAACTGTTCTGAGACATAGGAAATTTTTAAAAGCTTAATATCTGTTGTGTGCCGCAGCGTCAGTGATTACTCAACCGATCAGCTTATACCTCTAGCTTCGACTCAAGTCGTATTAAAATAAAACTCCTATCAATATGTAATCGTCTTACTTCACTAGTATATTTTTATGAAAAAAAAGTTCTTTTCAACAGGTAAAAAAAGAATATTGATCCAGCGAAAGAGATATTTAATAAAGAACTGGAAATATAAAACTAAAAAAGAAGAAATACTTTACTTAATCAGCTCATAGTCACATTAATAGAGCAGAAGATTAAAGAGTTCGAAACAAAAAGAATATCAAAAGAGTTAAATGATGCATTACAATTATGTTCATTAATAACAAGAAGTCACAACACAACGATGAAAACGTATTGGTTACATACAAGAACCTAACCTTAAACATGATTTATTCCAGACCAAAATTAGAAAGTGTCCAATATCTTGATATTTAAAAATTTGGAGTTGTTTAATAAATTTCACTCGTAGATATATAGTTTTATCTCAGAAATACTAGCAACAAGTCTCACGTCAGAACTATACAAGCTAACATGTAACTTATACTACTTTTACAATGATATTATTCAAACAAGTGGTTCAATCGAATGTCTCACATATTAAAAATTGGTGTTATTATTAAATGACATCAAACTAAAACTCAAAAAAAGGAAGTAATAATTCGAAATTATTTTTTTTTACTCTTCTGTAATCCCTAGCATTGTTAACCCTCGGACAGTATTCTCATCTTATCACACAAAACGGTCTTTTGTTGGCCCAGTGGGATCCACATGTAAATGAATTAGAAGAACTTGATTTTTTATGTATTTTGCACCAGATATGATGAACTAAAGTCTATATCAGGGTCTCTATCGAAGCGCGGATATGTTAGTATGATTGCGATGTATGCAAATGATCGCATTTTTAAAAAGCTTTTGAGGAGGGATTATGATAAAATTACGGCTTTAAAAAGTATATATAGCCACTTATATTAAAAGTTCTGTGCTGCAACAACTTTTGAAGTTTTCAGGCGCTAATTGTTTTCAACAGAATAAACTTGAGTATGATTGTGGTGATCATGACCAAAGTCGATGGCAGAAATATCTCAGCCAGAATATTACGAAATCCGTCGGACAAAGATAAAAAGACACACGATTCACTACTGACAGTGTTAGAGTAACGGGCTATAGGTAAATTAACTTTCGAGACAATAGAGGCAGATGTAATATGGATAAAAAAAACAACTGCATAACATCAAAGGTGTTAGGAGATCCATGCGAACCCACATTTCAGTTTTTTACTTGTAAGACTTTTGTTGGAAATTTAATACGGTACTCGTGCATCGTTAGAAGACTAACGATTAGCGGAAAGATATTTCCGAAAATGAAACATCTTTAAGTAGAAAAAAACAAAAACAGTGTTGTGAGTCTCGTTGGACCCACAACAACCGTAGAAGGGTTAAATATGGCAGCAAAATAGACTGTAAAATGAAACTATTTTTTATGTTGACTTGAATGTTTGTAAATATTGAAATTTTGGTAAGTCATTCCGTCACTCTACTTATTTTACGCTTAGGTATTTCTATATAGACCACAATGGTCAAGAAAAAACTATAAATTAAAAGTCATGCTTTTACAAAAGGTATTAAGCAAAGCAATAATGCTGTTAACGGAAATGAACACAAAAAAATAAGCAATAAAAAAATAATTACATATGATCAGGAAATAGATCTTTCTTGCGACTCAAACATGAAATGTTAGTATAGTTATTTCATTAAAAATATGTTTCTTGAACAGCCATTGACAAAAGTGGTAGAGATTCACAAAAAAAAAGAATTCGAACTTATTTTGAAAATATCATTTTTTTCAATTTTGACAGTTTCTTAAAGTAAAAAATGAACATGAATCAAACATTTCAATGCATAGACAAATCTTTTGTGATGAAATTTTTTGTAGTGACAAATATTCTCTAAGAAGACTTTTTATCAATTGCTTTGTTTGATTAATTATTATTTTTTCTTTATTTAGGCAATTTATTTATTTATTTACTTTTCAATGTCAATCAGGAGTAGTTATCCTTAAAATCTTTATGTTTGCACAAAGATTTACTTCTTTTTTTTGCAAAGAATATTAGTCGAAAGTAATCTAAACCCTCAAATGTCGAGATACAGTCGTTAATTATTGTTCATATCTTTAGGGATGCTATAATGATGAAAACAGTTCACCAATAATCTACCTAGCAGTGAAGCCAATAAACATATTAAAAATTAAATGTTGAAGATCGATTTTTGATACCACCATTTTAAAAGTCTTGATTAATTAATATATTGATGTTTTCAGACTTCACTGTTAGATTCGTCACCAGTGAAAACTTTAATTTGTTTTTCAAGAATAAATCAATACCATTTCGAGAACTGTTGACAAAATTCACTTCCTGTAAGACTCAAATCAATTGTTTATTTTTTTTTTCGTCTATCACGATGTTTTTATTCATGTATTAACTGACATCCCTTTTAGTTTTTGATACCAATCATCATAATGAAAATAACAGAATACATGTGTAGTAATTCAATATATATTTATTTATCTAACGATAAGAAATGTATTTCTATCCGATTCACAGGTATATATATAACACACATAGGAACAAGAAAAAAAAATAAATCTGCATTCAGTTGAAAGATATTTCATACAAGTGTATATTCTTAACATAACAAAAATAATCTATCTGACATCATTTTGAGATGAATGAACAAAAAAAAATACATATATATATCTATTTGTACATCTGACTAAATACGAATAACAATTTCACCAGCTAACATAATTTGATTTTCATCTTGCATTTTTGCTAAAGCCATTCGAATTTCATCTTCATTAAATGTTGAATCATGTTCTTTCATATAATCAAATATTTCTTGAGTTGTTACTGATGGTTGTCGATCAATAAATGTTGATAAATGTGTTTTAAATACATCTAATCTAGCTGAACCAATTGTTATTTGTGATGCTACTGGTGTAATTTCATCAATACCACCAGTTACTTTTCGTATTGGACGTCGTTGTCGTTTCGTTGCACTACCACTATCACTTTGAGGAGCATCTGTTGATGATGATTGACGACTAAGAACAAAAAAGAAAAGAAAATTCAGTTTTTAAAATATCCTATAACATAACATACCGTCTTTTAGGTGTAGCTGGTTGTGAAGTCGATTGTTCGGTATCCATATCACCTTCATCATTTTCTTTATCTTCTTCTAATTCTTCATCATCCTCATGTGTTTGTCCTTTATTTGTATCTTTCTTACGTTTGTTTTTTTCTAATACCTAAAAAGAACAAAAACAAAAAATAAAAAATAAGATGATCTAAATTATTTGTAAAAGATTATAAAAAAAAATAACAAACTTTTTTAAAGATAGCAAATTGAACAAGATCAATAGCTACTTCACTATCTTCGGGATCGACGGTTTTTGACATACGACATTTAGCATGTGCAGTTGCTAAACGTATCATACTTTCTAATGCTCGAGCTGTTATTGGTTGTGTCTAAAAAGAAAAAAGAAAATAAATAACTTTGTTTATTATTTTACAACATGATTTAATCTTACTCGAGCTTGATTATCTGTTTGAGATAAATCTTGATTACGTAAACGTGTATATTCTTCAACAATTATATCAGCTGCTTCTTTCGTTAATTGTGGTTTAAGTGCTTTAGCAAAATGAATATATTTTTTCATAAATCGTAAATTGATAAATTTCGTTCTAAAATTTATTATTTTCTTTTTTCAATAAAAACAAAAAGAGAAAAAAAAAAATTTTATTTACTTTTTTGAATAATAAGGACCATGAAGAACAGCATCATATTTATCATATACTTGAATATCATCTTCAACATCTTTTTCAGCATCATTTGCTTGTTCAGTTGTTAAAGCATCAACTTCTGATGTAAATGGAAGTACTTCACCATCGGCTTCATTTGGTGGTCGATATCGATGCATTCGAAGAACATGATCAGCAATAATATTATCTTGTTCCATATCACAATTATCAAGTATAACAAAAATAAGATCGAAACGAGATAATAATGAATCTTGTAAACCAATATTTTCCATTGGTGTTTTATATTGATCATACTAAAAACAAAATTTCAAGAAAAGAAGTTTTTTTTTTTTCACATTTAAGTAAACTATAAAACATACACGTCCATAAACAGGATTTGCAGCAGCAAGTACACTACATCGTGCATTTAATTGAGCATGTATACCAGCTTTAGCAATAGTAACTCGACCTTGTTCCATAACTTCATGTATTGCTGTTCGATCAATATCTGACATTTTATCAAATTCATCAATGCATACAATTCCTCGATCAGCTAAAACCATAGCACCAGCTTCAAGACGACGATCACCAGTTTCAGCATCTGCAGTAACGGCAGCTGTTAAACCAACACCTGATGAACCACGACCAGTCGTTGGTATAGCTCGTGGTGCTGTATGTAAAACGTAACGAAGTAATTGAGATTTAGCAACTGATGGATCACCAATTAATAAAATGTTAATATCACTAAATAAATAAATTTTTACTATTTTCTTCAATCTCTAAAGTTAATTATATAGTAAAATCTCTTTATTGTGAACATCGTTGGGATTGACAAAAATCTATTAGTAGAATAGGATGTTTATAAAGGAGTAAGTTCAGCAAATATCAATCAAAATTGTTTAACAAGCTGGATTTCTAAAATTACATCCCTATCATGATTTATTTATTCACGACAAGCTCAACAACATATTTTTTGTATCATTGATTAAATTTGTTTTTCTTTCTACGCCAAGAGCATTGTGAGATAGTTGTATTTGATAGACAGCAGTATCTATTTGGTCATTCCTGTGTCGCACTAACATCGATGACCGAGAGTTTCCGAAGCAAAAGAGGTCATCCCTCCCAATCTTGAGAAATTTTCGATGTTCTCCAGTTTTGCTCACCGATTCTCGAAACGCATATCAACTTCTTCTAAATATGATCAGTTTTAGCAGAAACCTTCTAATTGATCATCTGTGTTGTCACCCTACCCGAATTCTAGCGACCTTCGGACATTCTTAGTTATCACATAGCTTCTTCTTCAGATTCCTCATATCTCTTCACTTTCACACTGTAGTGTCATGTTCTATTAATGTTCTCATTCAAAACCTAGAGATGTTCACTAAGAGAGGTTTTACTTTAGATAAATCATACCCTCGAAGACGTGTGCCATTTGGAAGTACTTTTTCTGTACCACCTAATAACATACATAAAATAGCTCGTTTTATATATTCATGACCATAGATAGATGGAGCAATAGAACGAGCCAATGTTTCAAAGACATCCTATAAAATAAATTTTAGAACAACTTTTTGTTTTCTTTTTTTTTTATTTTGTACATACAATATTACGTTGTCGACTAAATGAACGAATTTTTTTCAAATCATTAATCGATACTTTTGGTTCCATTTCTTTACTCATCAATCGTACATTATTTGCAATCAATACCGTTCTATAAATAAAAATTCATTAAAAACAAAAAACTTTTCTTTTTGAAATTTACATACCGAAAAGATACATTTGTAAAACCATTTTTTTTACCCGGTAAACATCGATATACACCAACAACTTGTACACGATCACCGGGCTATTCAAAAACAAAAAAATGACTATTACATTAAAATTAATTACAAAGATTTCAATCAAACCTTGCATTGATCAACAAGATCAGCATCAGCAATAACATCAATTGAACGTGGTAATTGACCTGTTGGAGCTTTTTCTGGAATTTCTTGTATAACAAATGTTTGATGATCTTTATAACTCGATAGACCATATTCTGTTTCTAATAAATTTCCATCTTCATCCTATTCAGAAACAAAAAAACAATTTTGTTTTTTTTTCTCTTCCACTCAATAAATTCTATACTTTAGTTGGATAAACTGATGATGTTGGAAATGCTTCCAAGGATGTCATATCAGCATATCGACGTTCCATAAATTTCTTTGTTGTTGGACAAAAATGAACACTTCGAGTTACTTTTGGTCGAATTAATGAACCTTTACATAGAAAAAAACAAAAAAAATTGAAAAAGTTTTTCTCAATTAAATCCAATATCTTACATTTATTTACAATGCCTTCAACACAAACTATTTTTCCAATATATGAAGAATTTATTGTACGTGGTGATAAATGAAAACCACCAAAACTAAAAAAATATTTTTTTGTTTTTATTAAAATCAATCAAATATTATCATAAAATTCTACAAACCTTCCTTCAAGTCCAATATAAAATTCTTCAAATTGTTTAGCATAGATTGCATCTGTTGCTGAAATAAGTTCACGAAGTGCACGTTGAAAACACATGATTTCTTCAAAAGCATTTTCTTGTAAACTAAATATTCAAATTTATACATAACGAATTTTTTTTTTTTTTTGAAAACTCAAACAAAAAAACAAATTTACGCTTTTGTTCGTCGTGGATTTTTTCGACGTAAATCATTTATATTTATAATTAAACGTGATTCATCATTTGCTATTAACATTTTTAATTTATCTTGATAGACACCTTCATCTTCCTATATAATAATATCAATTATTATCATATATAAAACTACAAAACATTTAGACTTACACCATCATCAAGAAAATCTAAATATTCACGTTGAATTGTACGTAAACGTTGTTCTTCAATTGGATCGACCATCTAGAAAATGTTAAACATGTTTTCATATTACACACATACATATACATATATATATAAAGTCATTTTGTAAGATATTTTATTTCATACGAATAGTGACAGCAGAAATAATGAACAAACAAACAACACAATACATAAACAACATAATAAAAACAAAATATTTTGTTGTTTCTTTTTTTTTTTTTTTTTTATCAATACAATCTCAAACACATGTACAAATGTGACAATACCAAGCAAAAATGTTTTACAAGCACTAGAGGAAATAATATAACATATGAACTATGTTCAATATATAAACAAAGACAAAAAAAAAAAAAAAAAAAAAAAAAAAAAGAAAAAACAAACAGTTCATTTTTTTTTTTCGTTCCTTAAAATTTTATTTACGTAAAAGTAAACATGATTTAAGAATAGTATCAATTAAATCCGGTTGTTTTGCCTTAAGTTCAGTCCAACCCTATTAAAAAGAAAATAAAAATATGTATCATAGGACAAAATTAAATATTCTTACTGTTGTTTCCATAACATTGCCTAAATTATTAGCAATATAATCACATGTTGTTTGTTTTAACATTTCAGATTTCATATTATCACTTAACATAAGTAACTCACTAAAAACAAATCATTATTTAACATATTATTAGAAAGCTACTAGCGAAATTCCAAATGTGAAGGATAATATAGTTGCTATTGCTATTTATACGGAGATTGTTTTTGAACACATTTGTCCGTCATTCTTTTACGTAATGCTTGAAAAATGTAATAGATATCATAATGAGAACTAACTCCTGTATAGCTTGTGATCTGAAGGAGGAAGTGAATAGAGATTGCGAAACCAAAGTTTTTCAATGCCAGATGCAGCAACTTTTTTTCTTTTATTCATTCGAATGAATCTAGTGTACTATCAGTTCTATTAGGCTTAGTACTTGAAGTCCAGGCAGTCTGTTTTTTTATTATTTAGTCAATGACTAGCACTACTTTGATAATCTCTCTTGATTATGTTCTAATTTATAAGAAATTTGCATTAAAGCAATAGAATAATCAACTGGAATGTTTAGTTTCTCTAGAAATAACTGTTCTCTCATAGTTTCGATCTATTGGGAAGTACCAAATGTTTATCCATATACTACAAAATTTGTTTCACATAGAAACATAAAGTGAAAACCTACCAAGCATTATCAACACGGATAATATCTTTAAGATAATATTCCGCATAAGTTTTTAAATCAGGCATTTCATAATTAGCAGCAATTGTTAATAAATCAATAACAAGTGTATGTGATATAACAGCACCTGGTACAGCTAATTTTTTAATTCCACCCGTATAAACATATTCAAGAAAATAGAGAATTGTTTTACGATCAATATCATTAATATCAATTATAAGAAGTGATGGATCTTCACCTCCACTAGTTGCTTGTGTTTCAGTTTCCATACTTTCACTCGTTGTATTAGCTGCTGAAGCTGTTCCTCGTTTACCATGACGACTAAAATATAAAATAATAACTAAACTTCTATATTTTTCATTGAACATACGTTGGTTTTGCCGGTGGACTAACAGCTGTTGGATGAACTGTTGTTGTTTCTTTTTCTTTAATCATTCTTGCAAGTACATTTGAACGAAGACCAAGTATAAGTTTATGAACACTATGTAATTCATTACCACATCGTAAATACATATCACACATACGTTTTTCTAAATATGCTGTATAAAATAATGTTGGCCAATATGTTGCTGGATCATCACTAATCGATGCTGTTGCATTTGATTTATTTATATTTGTACGTGGTAATGCAACTAATGGTCGTGATATATATTTACGTTCATCAATAGATTGTCGTTCAAGAATTTTAATTTGACAATATAAACGAAGTTCATTGCCAGGAAATAATTGTTGTTGTGCTTGTAATAATGTTGAATGTTTAATAAAATCACCAACACCCCAACGTTCACCAGGTGCTAATACATGTGATGGTAATTGTTTTGTATTAACACGACGTCCACGTGCATCAATTAATGAAAAACGTATAACAACACGAACACTTGGACCAAATGTATGTTCCAAAAAGACAGATAATGATTCTTTAAAACGTTCTGTTTTACCACTTGGATAAAGTATAAGTGACCATTGATGTGGTGGAATGTCATTTTGTGGTGGTGTTGTTACTGGTGTTTTATTTTCATTTATATTTGAACCATTTGTTAATTGTTCATCATCTTCGATTTGTTCAGGTGCAGCTGTTTGTATATTTGTTGTATTACCAGGTCGTTGTTTATTAAATGTAAATTCACATGACTCAATAAAACTATTATTTGGTGATTCATTAACTAATGTTGAAAATTTTTCTATTTTCCAACGTAATTTCATTTTCATAACTTTTGATACAACACGTGATGAACCTTCAACTATTTTTGATGTACTTGTTTTCATACTACGTTTAGCTAAATCATCAATTGACATTAATTCAATACTAATGATTAAATGATCTTTTGAATCTTTATATAATTGTTCACATGTAGCACGTGACATTTTCATTATAATTAATTCATCAGTTATATTACCACCACAATCATGAACAGTTTCAGTATGAAATATACGACCCTAGAAAATAAATTTTTTAATGAATTTTGTCTTTGTTTTTCTTTTGAGCAATATATAGGAAGTTAAACTTATTCCGTGTTAATTTTAGATATTTCACACTACTATGAATTTCATATTTTTCAATCTTTCGTTTAAGGGGCGTATCAGGGACTTTTCGAGTAGGGTGCACACCAGTCAAAAAAAAATAATTTTCTCTTTCATGAAAGGACTTTTTCTTTTATATTCGAGCTATTCTTGTTCAGGTCTATTTCTCTCCAAAGTTCTATGTCGAAATTCAAAAGACAATTTTTTCTGGTATTCCTGAGAGAAATAATGATATTTATTTCAAAAATACCGTTTAAATGCAGACATTTCGTAGCAATAAGCTATGGATACTAATTCTTTTCTGAGCATTCAAAGCTCATTCGGATATACATAATGTACATAGTCTCAATGCAACAGCAATTAAACAGTTGGTAACCTTTCATTGTTGATTCTTTCCTTCAAGTCACAGTCATGAAGACTAAAATATTCTTACAACTTTGAAACTTCTATACAGATAGAAACCGGAATAAGTTTGATTTCTCGTGGGTCTATATTTTTCTTTATATATAGAATTTTACTTGTGGATTTGAAAAATTAATAAGAGCCCGAAAGTAAACTTGAAGTTGACGTGATGATGTATTCATTAATGATGATGCTATATGATTTGGATTAGTTGAACCAGCACCATTGGATGCTGATGCAGATACATTAGATGGATGTTGAGATGCAACATGTGATGGACATAATGTTAAATAAAATTGTATTGTTGAATCATCATCAGTTGATGATGCACCACCTGCTGATGGTTGATTTTGTTGTTCTTTTGATAAACGTTGATGACCTTTGGGATAAAGACGAAGTGTCCAAAATTCTTTTTGTAAATCATATGGTGGAAATTCTTCACTTTGAATCATATCTCCACATTCATACCTTAAAAAAGAAATATAAATATCATTTAAAACGAAATTTGTTTTTTTTTTCTTTTTACATTTGTGGATAAAAATCTTCAACAGTCCATTCAAATCGAACATGAGAAACATTCTCAATTGTTGTACATAACATATCCGCTTCATTAGTTGGAATGGCTTTGGCTACACTTGTCATTGTTGTATTTGATGATGATGATAATTGTCCTTCAGGTTGTTCATCACCTGTACCTGTTCCTTCTTCATTTATAGCTTCACCACCTTGTTGTTGTACAGAAACATTATCATTTCCACTTGTTTTACTTATACCTTGATCAGAAAGACCTGCTGCTTCGCATACATCAGAAATTTGTCTTTGAGAACAAAGACTATCGCCACTAAAAAAGAAACATATTGAATATTTAATAAAAATTTGGATTTCTTTTTTTTTTTTCTTTCTAAGATTCTTCTTACACTTCCATTCCTTGTGATGCAGCTGCTGTTTCTTCTAATTGTACACCACCAGATCGTCTTGAAGTTTTTCGTGACATTATACCACGGTACAACAAAAAGATTAAATCAACTTAATAATCTACAACAAAAGAAACATTATTATTACCAAACGAAGTAAAAAAACAACAAAGTCAATTATATTGAGTCGTTTTTGCTGATTTGTGAGATTTAGATTAAATGTCAAAGAAAAAAAGAAGAATTTGCTTGATTATGAATTATCAGGAAGTATACAATGAATTGATTTATATATCGACTGGGCTACTAAGTCTATGCCAAATCATCATATAGATGCTTGTATAAACCATATTATAAAGTGAACCCCATGCCATATCTTGTACAAGGATTGAAACGGGATAACGACTCGAAAATATTGCACGTGTTGTGCAATTATATACACCATAAACAACAAATCTACAAAAAAAAAAGAAAATCATTTTATCAACATCACAATCTGTAACGAAAAGTATATTTCTACAGTAAGTGTTCCACCTTAACATATTAAACGTTACTTCATCAAGGTGAAACATCTACTATGAGAATACCAATATTATTTACCCGTAGAGAAGACCAGATACAAGTCCACTTAAAACACTTATTGATAATGGTGTCCATGATGGTCTACGTTGTTTAAGTGTATCGAAATAAGCAAAAGCTAATTGTACGGCAATAAAATACCATCCAAGAGCCATGACTAGAATATATAAAAAAAATTCATATATGTATTGAATATTGTTTTGTTTATTTAAATCACATTTACTAACTTGCATAACAAATAAATGCTGCCACAACATCAATTTGCATTTCATCCTTTTGAATATTTTGAACAACTTGTTCATAACGAGTTTTCGATAAATAAATGTAAAGAAAATCAAAACATATATAGATAATACCAGCTACAATGGGTAGAATAATGTTTGTTATACGACTATTCATTGTTTAAGATAAACCTTGAATCAGTGTCAAGAAGAAAAAAACAAACGTTAAACAGAGTCTTTTGTTTGTGTGAAATGTCCTTTGTTCATATATGAACCAATAGTTAGATAGATGATTTGCCTCCTTGTGTAAATAAATAATAGATGTCACTACGTGACTGTTTTTTTTTTTCTTATTTAAATGAATATTTATTTCGCGCATTATTGTGTTTCATTGTTTCTTCTTTATAAATTAATTTATTAATTGATTGAATATGATTGGAAATATTGAGCGAGATACATCGGATATAAATGTTACGAGATTAAAAGATGAATTGAATATTGAACGACATGAATGGCCAACTAAACGAGAACTTTATACTATATGTGGAAAATTAGGAGAAGGAGCGACGGGTAATGTGAGTAGAATAGATGAATAAATTCAATAGAAAGATATTTTATTCAAAGGTATTGTTCATTGGGCAACATGTACAGGTTGTTCAATACGAAAACGAGTTGCAATTAAACGTATTCCTATTAAAGAATCTATGTATATTGATATTGTACGTGAAATTCATGTTATGGCATCATGTTCACATGAAAATATTGTTCGATTTTTTACAAGTTTTGTTTATAAAACAGAACTATGGATTATTATGGATTTATTAGATGGTGGAAGTATAAGACAAATAATTGAAAAACGTATTCGAGATAAAAATGATTGGTATCTTGGTGTATTCGATGAACGTGAAATAGCAACTGTTATGCGTGAAACTCTCAAGGGTCTTGAATATTTGCGTAAAAGAAGAATTTGAGAGATTTAAACAATAAAAAGAAAACCTTTCCTATGATCTAGATTCTCAACAATATATTCATCGAGATATAAAAGCTGGTAATATAATGTGTAAAATCGATGGTAGCATTCAATTAGTTGATTTTGGTGTTAGTGCTTTTATTACGGATTCATCAACACGACAAAAAGCTATTGCTCATACTTTTGTTGGTACACCTTATTGGTATTTATTCTCTATAATTTATTTATATAACTTTGTTTTTTTAATTTTTTTCATTGAATAAAAATTAAATTAAGGATTGCACCAGAAATGTTTTCATCTAATGGTTATGATAATAAAGTTGATATATGGGCATTAGGTATTGTTGGTATAGAATGTGCTACAGGACATCCACCTTATTATAAAAAATCAGCTCAAGAAGTATTTCGTATTATATGTACAGATACAAAAGGACCAACACTTGAATCAAATGCTGAACGTGAAGGACAATATATAAAATATGATAATGAATTTCGTCATTTTCTTGTTATGATATTAGAACCATCAAGTATAAAACGTCCAAGTGCATTGAATTTATTACAAACAGATTTTTTAATTAAATTTGCTCAGGATAAAAAATTCGTTATTGAACATATGATTCTAAAAATTCCATTTGATTGTCTTGAACAACAAATTGATATTGATTTACAATATGATGATCTTAAAGATCGAATACAAACAACACATAAAGAACGTGGTCTACAAACTGAACATACAATTTTAGATAATATAAGAAATTTTTTTCGGTAAGAAAATAATCTCTTATCAAGAAAATTTTATTAATCGTTGTCGCTATGGCTAATGAGTGAGTCTCTTCAGATGAGTCTTTCCAATATCAATGATTCTTTTCGCCGAGAGGTACTGCATAGTGTGCTTATAAAAAGGATGTTCGTTTCTATGAGGATTTGACTAGTCTGTAAAATTTTCTTTCTACGAGTTTCAAGTTTTCTTAAAACTCATATTTTCGAACTCGAATCGAGAACTTTGTCCATATAGAAGACAATAGTTTTCATAAAAATAGTTTCGAAGTTTTCAAACTATGTATTTTGTACACATCATTCATGGAAAAGGATGTATATTTGAAAGTCTCATTTAAGACGAAGAAACTTTGTTGAAAACTTAATTTTTCAAAAATCTGTGAACTCTATAAAGCAGATATAATAGAGATTCCATATCTAAATTGCACTTCAATAAGAACCCAAATGCTTTTACGATTTTTATTAGACCACTATGCAATAATTAAAACCGAAAGAAGACATCTAAAGAGGTTCTCTGATAAGTAGCTACGTTGTTCGACACATATTTGCTACAAGAACTCTGCGTTAAACCTTGTGATCAGCAGGCTCGATTTTTATTGATCTTATTAGCTGTCAGAAAAACTTTTGAGCCTGGTATCGCATTTAGTAACAAATGTACCAGCGAAAAAAGTACTACCATTTAATAGTAGTGTCAATCAGCTCGAGACATCTTGCATGATCGGCATGACCTATAATATCATTGCTCTTATTGATACATTACTTTTTCTTTTATTTCACTAATACTTCCTCTATTTTCCACTTGTATGTTTGATAACTCTCTTATTTACAGAAAAAAGGATTATGTCTATTATGAAAATTGAAACAGCAAATATTGAAGTGATCTTGATACAATAATTTCCGTATAAATTTTTAGAAGGTATGAGTTGTGAGAATATGGTATTTGATGCAAGTTTTACACAACAATAAAAAAATATCACTTTCTATAAAAAGAAAAGTGTTGATAATAGTCCCAGTGGGACTGATATCAAGATCAGAACTGTCTTGTGCATATCGGTTCAGGCTGACCTTTTATCCAGGGTTAGAGCTAGACATAGTAGTAGGAAAGATCTCAAGCTATTAAATCTGCCACTAAACATCACCCTATACCATGAATTAGTCGAAATACTGAAGTCTTCTTTCTAATCTTCACTGAATAATATTTTTTATAGACCAATATCACAAAAAATAATACAAGTAAATTTAATATTCAAATTATTTTCATGATGACAAAACAAAAAAAGAAATATTTATTTAAAGGATATTGATCGAAAATTAGATGCAAATCTTGATTCAAGAACAATAGTAAATCAAGAAGCACCACTATCAATAAAATTAAAAATAAAAGAACCAGGACGTTTAGCATTTTCATTGATATCATTTAAATATCAACCAAATATTGATCATCCAGTGAGTGTTGCACAAGAATTAGTAGCTGAAAATCATGTATATGGACATGATTATATATTAGTTGCAGCTAACATTGATAAAGTACTTTCACATAAAGGCAAAATTCGATTTACATTACATAAGATTGATGGCAAAGGTTTGATTGATCATTTTTAAATCTAATTTATTCTTATTTTCGTTCTTCATTCATTCATTCATTGAATTCATTTAGAAAAAGAACCACCATCATATGCTGAAATTTCAATTGGTGAAACACCTTTAACAGGAATGAATAAAAGTCTTTCAAATAGTGGTTTTCGTTCAGCTGGTTCTATCCGTCATGAAAATAGCATTGATGAAACAACAACAACAACAGCCACAACAGCAACAGTTGCTATTAAAACAGATGATATCATTACGTCAACAACTTGAGCGAGTATAATACATCATTGTAAATGACCTTGTAAAAGACAAGCATCCAGCCATACCATGATTTAATCATTAAAAAAAAAACATTGGACATATGCAAACCTAGTGTCTAAATATATTGATTGACAGCATGACAAAAAATGCATACATATATATATATGGATAGAAAACGTTGCAAGTGTCAATGGTTAGAATTGTTTTCTTTTCTTACTGCATTTCGTCAAACACATTTTCAGTGTTATGTCGATTATTATAAAAAAAAAGAAACTCTATATAGATGTATGATATATTAAAGAGAATAAAATGTCATCATTTTTAAACAAGACATTGTTGTTCTTTGTCATTATTCACTTGAGTACATATTATGATGAAAACGCAGAAAAAAGGATACACAAGATCTTTTTATGCAATGTTATTGATGTTCTTAGCAGACAAATCGATTAGACTATTTTTTTATGAGAAAATAGAAGGACAGTGCAATTTCTATGCCTCTTCTAGTTGTTGTTACTGTTGTTGTTGTTGTTGTTGTCGCTGTTGTTGGTATTTTATTTCGAATGTGCAATTATACATACCACAAAGAATAACCCTTATATGATCGAAAGAATAACATGCTCAAGAATTTACAGCTAACCAATTATTCTTTGTATTCAAAAATATAAACTTATATTATAAGAGAACGGAAATTCGAAGGATAATGAGTGTAACGGAGAGGAAAGAGTCTAAAACCAAATTATAGGCAATATGATATACATTCAACTAGAATAGATTATTCAGTTTTATATGACTATCATTTCAAAGTAATCCTAAATAATTATTAGAATTGATAAAAATATTATTGTATATAGACAATGTCTATCCTTGTTTTTGTTTTTGCTTTTTTTGTGGCTCTTAAACATAATAATAATTATTGAAAATGCATTCATTATCGATAATGTGATAATCAAATTTTCAAATTTTTTAAGTTGATATGGCGTTTTTTCTTCTTCTCTTGTATATTTCATATTAGGCCATTATAGTTCGTAGAAAGTCGATACAGAATAGGAAAACGAAGAAAAAAACAGTATTTATGATGAATTCTCCTCTAATGATGAACGACGGTTGGATGAGTGTATGAAATTGAATTTCGCTGCTTTCCGTCGTTCAATTTACCATCTCATTGTTATTCTAATTGTTTGTCAAGTCTTTTCCTCATCCTATGACTACTGTTCTTTCTTCAATTCCTGACAAAATAGCTTTCAATGACTGAGTGTGAAATTGACGATGCATACCAATATAACATAGGAGCATATTAGGCTCGTTCGAATTTGTTGGCTAATTATAAGTAATATAGAAATAATGGACACATTCTTCTATTTTTTTTTTCTCTTCTCTATTTTCTCCTCTATTTCTGTTTTTAGGCTTGATCTCAACCAGAACACATCGGCTAGAGCCAGATTGCATTTTCTGTCTCTGTCGTTTTTTTTTCGAAGCGAGAGAACCTTTTCACAATACTTAGACGTCACAAAAAAGAGATTAATAAGATATTTCTATTACATCGATGAGGAAAAACACACCACTTGCGTATACGAAAGGTCGATTTTGGCTCAAAACACACAAACTAGTTACAAAATACGTCATCTAAATATTAACTGTTGACATATCATATTGATAAGAGTTACTTTTACTTTTATAGGAAAAAAGAAAGTGAATTAGTTTTCCTACTTTCATGGTTTGTATAAAGTAACATTTCTTGATGTGTAGACTAACTCGTCAATATTGTAATTGTCGACGACTAATTAGAATTCCCTAAATACGTTTTTTTCCTATTACTTTTTTTTCTTTTTCTTTTTCTCAAGATACATGTATTAATGATTGTCCGCCGTGCACACACACAAAAAAGACAGTCAACAAACGAGACAGAAACAAGAAAAATTGTCTATTATCATAAAAAAAAGCAATCGAGGGTATTTTTACCAGAAAATATAGAAGATCACTTATTCAACCTTTCTGTCTTTATCATACTCAGATTTCTTATGTGAAGATGTATTTATCATTTATCACAATGTATATAAATATATATGGTTGAAACATTAGAAGAATCTTTATTTTTAAGATTCTTTTTTGTTTTACACACGCAAATATATTGAACTACAGGTGCGTATATCCGATTACAATGATAATAGTAGAGAACATTTTTTAGACTGATTTTAGTTAAATATATACTCACATACTCCGCTTCATGATAGTTGTAAGCGAAATGTAAGAAATGTTTACTACAACTAGTACTACTAGAGTTTTAATAATGATAGACAGTTGCAGAATGCATAGTTATTTTCCGTCACGAGTATATAAAATGATAGTGTTAATGCGTTTAAGAATGTCAAATATCAAGTATGTACGACAGCGTATTTTGATCTTTTTAATAGTATAATTTGATTTTTAGTTTTGTGTATAGAAAGAAAAATTAGAATCACTAAATAAAGTTAACAATTTTTCTTTCGACTACTTTTGACTATCATATATAGTAGATGTCTTAGAAAAATATTACGTATAATGCAACAGAAATAGGGTAGGTTAGAAAAAAATGTCAACGGAAATGACGAGATTAATTCTATATCTGCTTGAACAACTTTCAAATAAACGAAGTGCTCATCATTCTTTCCTTTCTGTTTACTAGTTCGTCAATGAAATAATAAATATAACAATAACAACAAGAGAAACTGCACTAACAACAGTAATAGGAAAATGGATAGTTTTTATTGATATATCTTTTAGAAAAAAAAAAGGGAATCTAAATGAATAAATGAATGAATGAATGAATGAATGAATGCTCATGACATGCTATGACTAGTTACAAAATAGACGATCGAATTTGATTCATTAGAAGAATACAAACGACAATAGCGAGCAATAAATCGATATTTTTGTTTCTATGTGCGTGTTTATAAGTCATTCGTTGCATTGTTGAGACTCTTGTAGCGTTTTATTATTGTTTTTGATATATGTGAGAAAGAAAAATGTCAATGACGGCAAATTTAGATACAAAGCACAAATCGTATTGCCTTCACATCATTATCATCATCATGGTCACAATGATGGTGATGATGATGATCATCATCATCATTATCAGTCGTGTGACAAATGGTCCAAGTGATTGCACTCTAGATGTGGATTAGTTTCAATATTGAATTGAGTGATTAGTATCAGTTCAACAACGAACATATTTAGTATTTTTGTTCGATCTCTATAAGTTATCATGTATGTTAGATACAGATTAGATCGAATATTTAAACCCGTAAACTAGAACTAATTTACAACTACTGCAATAACAAGAACATACTCGAAGACCCTGGTTATTATTTTTGTAATGTCTTTGCATATGCCATTATTGTCTTGATAATGGGTGTATTGTATTGTGTGTGTCTATAAGGTCAACTTTGATTTACATCATAGATAGAAGTAAGAAAAGTGATGAAATCATTTCTGTCATAATCACATTTTTCAAACATATAAACATTTATTCTTAGTTTTTTTTCGTTCGATTCATATTTGCTTCATGATTTTTTTTCTTCTTCATTTAGAAAAACATTAGATATTCTTCTTTTTAGCGTCATTTTTGTATAATAAAGAGTTTTGTATAAAATGTATATATAAGCAGATTTTCGTTTATTCAATTTTTGAAAATAGTTTTCTATTTGCTTTATTTCTATATTTCAGATTTTATGCCTATTTAACTGACAAGATGACGATGATGATAAAGACATAGATGCGATTGAGTTTCGCATCTTCTAGTTTCTCTCTCTCTCTATGTCTCTGTGTCTTTCTCTTATTGTATATTCCCTCAGCGACGATCTGTATTCGCTGAAATATAGATAGAGAAATAAGTCGAAAGAGAGAAAGAGAAACAGGTCGATTACTACTCAAAAAGAAATCAGTAAGAGGGCGTCATAGAGAAAGAATGACAAGTGAATCTATCTCTTTTTCTTTTACTTGAAAATAACCGAAGTAAATCTTGCATTCTCAATATTCATTCGCTTTTCTTTTTTATCTCTATTTTCTACATTCAAATCTACTAAGATAAAGTAAGCTTTTAATTCAACTTGTCAGCTTACTTGCGTGCATTGTGTGACGCCTCGTTTTATTTTTTCCTCTTTTCCTTTTTCAATAATTAAGCTCATATCTTCTTTAATAGATTATAATAGACATCTAGCCATAATAGAATTTCGTTACAGATCTCTTTTTTTCTGGTTGCACACCAATAAAATATTGGATTTTTCTTGTGTTCGATATTTTTTTTATCGGATACAAAAAAAAAATAATGACTACAATAAATATTTATGGTTATTTTCTGGAAACTAGTTTTTTCATATAACAACATTTTCGTTTTATTGTTTTCTTCTGCTTGATCGAGTAGAATTGATCGATGTGTCGATGAGATAAATTCAAAGAGTACTTAGTTATTTCTGTAGTGTTTCTTCTGCCTTAACTCTATATCGTAATAAGAGCATTATAATGGAAAAAAGATGGACAATATATGTGTAGTAATCGACAAATATTTCGAATAAAAATAACTTATCAAAATATAATTGCAGATTTATAAGAAACGGTATGCTGGAAATAGAACAATGTATCATTCTCCATCATCTAATATAACATCGTTAAGTGAAAGTGTTTCTTTAACATATTTTGATTCAACATTTTCAACACCATTATCATTATTTGATGATAATACAACATTAAATAATACACTTGCATCATTATTTTTTATAACTGATCAAACAATATTAAAAAATGCAAATTTAACATGTACTCAAATAAAATATGAATATGTTTCACAAAAACCTTTATTCAATATTGTTCGTTATATATCACAAAATTTAAATCGTTTTTTTATTTTACCTGCTATTATTTTAAATTTATGTGCTTTTTATATATTAAGACGTACACGTATGAATCGTTCATCATCAATAGCTTTTTATATGCAAACATTGGCATTATGTGATGTTGCTTTTTTTGCATTACGTGTTATTTTTGGTGAATTATCAAGTTCAACAACTGGTAAACAAATTTTAACAACTGGTTTATGTAAATTTCTTTTTCTTATGGTCAATGCAGTAAACTATACAACTGGTAAGTGTCTCCATTCGATTAAATGTTGTCAAGCTTCCGGAGCTAAAAGATAAAAAAAAAATATAGAAGAATGCAGTAACAGCTGCACCAACAAATAGATCGATTTTTCTTTTATACTAATTTTGCTGGTTAACGCATAAATTATTGTCAGATAGAGACCTTGAATAGTCAAAATATGTTCGATATATATATTTATTTATTGTTATTCTTTTAGTATGGCTTATTGCTGCTATGAATGCCGATAAATTTCTTGCTGTTTGTTTACCATTACGTGTATCAGATCTTTTATCACGGAAAAAAGCTTATGCTGTAGTTATAGCTGTTATTATTTGTTCAATGCTTGTTGCATCTGTACATGCTAGTCGAACTGTATTAAAAAATAATGCATATTGTTGGTTAGAAACATTACAAGATGAAAAGCTTGTTTTTATACTTGATGCATTTTTTTGGTGCTTTATTCCATTTTTTGTTATATCAGTATTAAATGCTGCTATATTTGTTGCCTTATTACGAGCACGTCGTGAAGCATCATGTTTACATGAATCAATGAATTCTTCAGCAACAGTACCTATGATAAAAGCATCAACTAATGGTCGAACAACAACAAAAACAAATAATTATCTTAAACCACCAACAAATATATCAACTCCAACACAATGTCGTTCATCAAATACAAACATATCAGCAACAAATCGTGCTCGTATTCAATCACAAAATCTTCAAATAACAATTATGCTTATCACAATATCAATATCATTTTTTGTTTTAACATTACCAAATGCTATTTATTATTTGCTCATATTTCTCCGTGTTTTAATTGAAAGTTGGAAAGCTGTTAAATGTGATGCGAATTTATATCGAAATCTTGATGTATATGTACGAACATCAGCTGTTATGTATCTTATATCAAATATTACATCAGATTTAATGCATGTGGTGAATTTTTTTCTCTATTTTATTAGTGGTGCAAGATTTCGTACTGAATTTCGTCGATTAATATTTTATCAATTATGTCGATGGTGTTGTAAAGCACAAGATGGTACTAATGGAAAAGACTTTACGAGAAATGAACGTTCATTTTTACGATCAAGTGGAGTAGGGACAGTACGCACATTGCCATCAGTGCCAGGAGCTGGAATTAAACAGCAACGTGCGTCAAATACGAGTTATTCAATGACAATAAGAGATAAGCAGAACCCAAAACATGCAATAACACATCTATCTTCAATTTCGAATGTTGCGCTTGATGGTAGTGTATCAAGTGTGCTCGAAGGCAAAGCTTGATGCAATTACTGCACTGCTATACTCATCATTAATATTGGGAAAAAAAGACAGAAAAAAAAGCAATAATCATTTTACACAAGAATGAAAATTTCATATTTTAGTTTTTTTTTTTCTTATTATTTTATGTTTTTTTGTGGTCTTCCTTATTTAATGTATACATTGTCATATATATATCATTGAACAAAGAGCTCAAATCAAGACTAATGCTGTAGTCTTGTATTTGAAAAATCAAAGTAAATATACATATATATATATGCATGACTAGGAATGAAAAGATAAGAAGTATAGAAGGCTAAAAAGCTATCTAAACTATCTGCAAAATAAATATCCCTTAAGGGGAAGACAGCTGATTTTTTTTGTTTTTTTATCAGCTTTAAACGCAAAAATATCATTCATTGAGAGAAAAAAAAGGGTTATTTTTGAACGTTGTGTGGCATGATGATATGTGTTTTCCTATAACATAAGTTTGTAGGTAGAACTTGGTTGTTAAAACAAAATGACTAGTACATTTAGAGGATAAGATCTACCATCATAATAACAAAAACAGTAATGTTTTCGATTATTCTGATGTTTTTTTTTGAAGTTTTTAATTACACTAATTTTTTTCATTTAAAGTTAATAGAAAATCAAAATATGAATTGTTTACCCTTGACTTTTTAATCAAAAAAAATCAGTTTAATCGGTCTAATAAAAAAAACTGATTTCTTGATTTCTAATAATTTCTTTTATTGAAAATGAGTTTTCATATTCTCATCGCAAATCAATAGGAAACATCGGAAATGATTTGAAATGAAAGAAAATCATAAGAAATTATTAGAAACAAAGAGCAATCACTAGAAACATTCGAAATTAAGGAAAATCAAAACAACCAAAAAAAATATTATTAGAAATCAATAGAAGTCAAAACTTTATCTTTAATCTTATTACTTGAGATTTTTGCTGTGATTTAGAATGATTTCAATTTATTTCTAATAGCTTCGAATAGTTTTTAATAATTTCCAGGTCATTATTCATATTTTAGACACATCATAATGATTTCTAGCATAGAAATCAGTTTGTTTCCCAATGGCATTTATCTAATTTTTGTTTTCTTAATGTCGAATGTTTTACTCTTTATTGTTGATATTAGATGAAAATCATTTTTCTAATTAAGATAAATTTAATTTTGTAGAAAATTTATTATTGATAAATATTCAGAAATTATTTCTTTTGTTTTAAATATCAAAATTTTGTATTTTTCAATGTTATAGACATAAATTTATCATGTATCCATAACAATTATCTATTAAAAAAAATAAAAACATGTGTCATTGTGTTTTCCTTTAGCTGTATTATATTTATTCTTTCATGAGAAATTCTATCAATATTTCATAAACATATAACATATTCTATGAACAAATAAACTGTTGATAATAATTCAAGTATTATTTATCTATAGAGAAAAGAAATGTCATTCATTATGAAAAAAAAAAATCTTTCATTTATTCACCATAGGAAATAGATTAATTGTGATTCTATTGAATTACCTTGACAGATCATATTTCACTTAAATAATAGATATATATATATTAGTTGTTTCAAATATTTATTTTATGATTAATAGAACGTTTAACCCTTTTTTTTTGTTTTTTTTTTCTAATAGTATACGTGGAACAGTCATTGTATTAATCAAAAAGAGAAAAAAAGAAAAGAAATAACTACTTTTCTTTTGAAATCAATAATATTACTTTTTATCTTTCAAATAATAAATTTCTTTCATAGATAGTAATTTAAATAATCATTAAATATTAATAAATTATATTTAAGTGAATTTTAAATAGAAAAAAAAACAAATAATCATGTCTATAAAAGAATTGACTTTTATCTTGATAGCGTATGATATTTTGTATATCCTTTTTAAGTCTACTTTCATTTTCTATGTAATCAAATATCATATTGACCTTGCAAATGATGATAAATAATGAAGACACGTGAATATTTCCATAACAACAATTTTTTTGACAGGTTATTAAAAAAAAAATTCATAGAAAAAATTTTTACTGGAATCATTTTTTCATATTATTGAATGCGTCCTATACTTGAAATGGCCCCTTATTTTTTTGCGGATTCTGACGATAAATTATTGACGTTGAGTCGATAAATCAATGCATATGTGTATGTGTACCTACTACCGCCATTACACATTTATAAAGCAAACATTTGTGTCGGATTCTCTAACATACGCACATTATACATCTCGAACATGCCGCGGAAGGTTGGAAGTGTGCTTCTTAATGTTGAAGGTCGTCATTTTCAAGTCGATCGACACTTACTGGCATCACAAAGCATTTATTTTCGTGTCCTTTTTCGTAGTAAATCAAAACGAGATAAATATGGTGCACTTCTTGTACCTGGACATGCAGAACAATTTGGTTTAATAATTGATTATTTAACTGGTGAACATCATTTAACAAGTGATCAACTGGAATCAATTATTGCTGATGGTTCATCACTTTATCTTATACCATCACTCGTTTATCTTTCTCAATTTATAGCTGAATATGAAGGAAGAGAAAAGCAACGAATCGAAGACGTTAAACGAACCATGAATAAAGTGGATAAATTAAAGAGAGAAATTATCAATTTAGAAGCATATATTGATAATATGCGAAATACACATAACTATTAATTGACCATAATAATATATATGAATATTAATTCTCAATTCATCAAAATATGTATTTTCTTTTTTTGTTTCTTATTAAATGACTTTGTTTATTGTATAATAAAAGTAAACGATTTCAATGATAATTTAGAATTTATTACAGGGCGAACGAAAAGAAAAAAAACCTATACTTAACATTTATTTTATGATGAAAAGTGACATCTATTTAAACAAGAACTTATTTAAATATTCATTATTTTTATTGTAATAATATTATAGTTTATCTAGAAAAATCTCGCATATTACAATGTAGAACTATTTCATTTTCGAATATTATGGTTGTTCACAAGGAAGCAAAAAAATAAAACATATAAAATGGTTGTCAAGTGGTTGCCGTAGTAGTGGTAGCAGTGTATCTCTCCTATAAACAATCACTCGCCTGTTTGAGTGAAACTTTGACACTTCATTCTTATACATACGTATATATATATATATTTATTTATTTATTTACCTATATATAAATCCATTTATCTATTCAAAAAGATAAATACAATGGTCAAAGGTGGTAAAGTTTCATCATTATCAACTGCTGCTGGTAAGACACCGGCACCTAATACAGCGAATAAAGGAGGCAAACCTCGACAACAAGATGAAAAAGCAATTGATGAAACTGTGAGTCATATTTAAAATATAATCCCATTTGAAACTAATAGAAACAGAATAGAAAAATTTACTTATATTTTATTTGTTAAAAAAATGAATAAACGAACAAGTTTTGCTAGTGGTATCTCTATTAAAGTTGGTCCTGATGTACCATTGGAATCTACACATACTGTATCTACTTTTTTTTCTTTTCATTTCTTTGTTTTTGTTAATTCTTAATTTATTAATATTTCTAATGTATGTAGTTCGAACCGTTAAAACTCGATGTCAAAGGAGCTCAAACAGCTGTTGTATGTTTACGAAGTACAGAAGATAATGTATTAATACGTGCATGTGATTCATTATTTAAATTTGCTGATAAAAGTGATGGAAATAAATTAATGTTACATGAAATGGGTGCAACAGATACTTTATTTACATTAACTCATCATGAAAATCCAACTGTACAACGAAATGCAACAATGGTCTTTGGAATACTGGCTGCTCATCGTAAAAATTTTTTCTTTATTAAAAAAAAAATCAATAGTTTTAATTAATTTTTTTTCCTATAGCGGATATTCGACGACATCTTCGTAAAATCGATTGTATTCCACATATGATTTCTCTTTTATCATCTGAACGTAGGCTTCGTTTTTTTGTTTTTGTATTTCTCAATTTGTTTTAAAAATAATCTTTAATAGATGAACAATTAACAAATGAATTTGCTGTTTATTGGCTTCGTTATATGTGTAGTGATTATTCAACAAAATCACAAGTTCTTTCATTAAATGTTCTTCAACCATTAATAAGATTAATTAATGAAACTGATCCTGATATTAAATTTAATTCTTTATCAACAATTGATCGTATACTTGATGATATTCATGCACGAAGTCTTGTACGAGAATTAAATGGTATTGAACCAATATTAAATAATCTTAAATCAGAATATCCACAAATAACTGAAACTGTTTGTAATTGTATACAAAAATTAGCTACAGATCCATTTAATCGTGCTGTTATAAGAGATATTGGTGGACTTGATCGAATGATTGATTTTATTGGATTAGATGAAACAAAAGATGTTCATGTTCATTGTTTAAATGCATTAGCAAATCTTTTAGAAGATACTGAATGTCTTGATGTTCGTTAAAATGAAATTTTTGTTTTTTTTTCTCCATATTTTCTTTTTATTTTTGAAAATTTTAGCTTATTCAATCAAATGGTGGACTTAAACGATTAATGCAATTTGTACAAGATAGTGTTGTACCAGCTGTACAAGCAGCTGCAGCAAAAGCTATTGCACGTGCAGCTAGAAAACGTAATAAAAAAAAAAATTATTTAAAATTAAATTTTAAGAAGATAACGATAAAAAAATACAAACAAACATATTATCTTTAGGATTAAATACTGGACCAGAACGTAGGTTGAGATAAACATTTAAAGAGAAAAATAAATCTGAAAAAAACAAACACACTGTTTTTTTTTTTTTTGTTTATTTCACAAGCACTTAATGAATTTTCAGTTTTTGTAATGCTGAATTGTAAAAGATGAAAAATCTGTTCTTTTTCTTTTTTTTTATTTTTAGCACAAAATCGAAAAATTTTCGCAGAACAAGATGCTGAACGTGCTATGGTATTTTTATTACTTAGTGAAAATGATGAAGTACGTGTAGCATCATGTCAAGCATTAGCAGTTATGGCTGAAAGCATGTTAAGTCGAGAAACTATTCGAAATAATGGTTTGTTTGTTTTTTTTTTCTCTTGTTTTGTTTATATGTTATTTGTAAATATAGATGGTATTCTAACACTTGTACAAATGATGCAAAAAGATAATCCACGTTTACGTGAATTTTCTACATTGGCTATGTCGAATTTAACACAAAGTAATCCAAATAATATCAGGTATATTATTTGAGAAGAAGACTGATTGTACGTTTCTTTAGTAAAAATTTATCGTACGAATAAAATTTTGTAATATAATGAATTTAAGGATGAAAAATGTGAATTCGTTTTGTTCACACTCATACGTTTGAAGTGCTCTATGTAGCCAAGAAAACATTTCTGACATACTCTTTTTTTTTCGATTAAAAGCATCAGTATTATAATATATAATTGTGCATCATTAATTACTCTTTTTAGTAGAAAATAAGGATAAACTACAAAGAAAAATAATGAGGAAAATCCTTAGAAAAAAACTTAAAAAATGGACAGAAAATAAAGGAACTGGATACTAAGAGTATCCAAAAAAAGCTACACAAATACAAAAGTAAGCAAAGTGACTGTTTTTTTTTTTGAGATATACATGGTATCTTCATCTTTCTGAGAAGGTTTGGACGTGATAGTGAATTCAAAACCGACGCTCACACTTTTTTTGAGAATGTAAAGCTATGATTCATAAGTATAATATCTCTTTCATAGAAAGCATTTTAATACTGCTAAAATGAAAAATCAAAACGTTTTCTTTTTGAAAAAAATGTCAACGATAGTGCTATTAGCACTGAAATTTCGTATATGTTTATAGTGGATTAAAAAAAAAGGGATTGACACATTTACAAAACTCACAAAGATTTTGAAGAGTTCTTTTTTTGCTAATATTATGTATACAACAAGAAATATAAGAAAAACTCGTGATTTAATCATGAATTTTTATTTCATTGAGAAAATCTAAATAGTTTTGGATACAAAATATTCTTTCAATATTTGTAATTTTTATGAATATGTCAATCCTTGTTTGTTAGGGATTATAGCATTTCCTCATTCCTTTTTTACATATTTCATTATTTTTCCAAAGAAAGTTTTATAAGTAAGTGATGCACAACTATATTGTATGATAAAATACTGTAATATTTTATCTATAGCGATGGATTGTGTAACAAAGACTTCCAGTATAGGATAGAAAATATTGATAACTATTTGATTGTATACGTAGGGAATTACAAGATCAAGGAGGCATTGAAGTATTAATTCGTTTATTGAATGATGAGAAAGATACAACAAAAGCATATGCATGTGCAACATTGGCTAATTGTTCAACTGATCAAGTTGTGCGCACAAATACTTTGGAAAAAGGTCTTATAAAAAGTCTTCTTGTACCATTACAAGCAAGGTATTAATCTGATAATAATTCAACCAAGGTTGAAACTTCCAGACTCTCGGAGACAAGTCGATTTTACTGAAATCGGCAGGAAAACATTGGAAACCAATGGAACTTGGAGATAAAAGAAATGAGTCAAAAGTGACTGAAAAAATCTGAAGTCTTGCTGATCTGAAGTATTATTTCCAAGTTTCATCGATTTTTGGTATTTTCTCCGCTGAAATCGTCTTGTATTTTTCTGACTCGAGAAGTTCTATATAAATAACAAAAAAATATATTTGTTTAAGCTATGAACTAGCACAAGCAAAAGCAGCTATGGTTTTATCAGCTTATGGTATTGATCAAAAAGCTCGAGAAGATGTAAGAATTGTAAACAATTTAAATATTTATCTTGTCTTTGATTAATCTATTAGATAAAAAATAATCAACCAATTATTCCACTTCTTGTTAGCTTATTAAGATCAAATCATGATGAAGTTCGTCGTAATGCTTGTTTTGCTATTAGTGTTCTTTGTGTAGAACAAGCTATAGCAATTGAAATTCTTCGAAATGGGTATTAAAATATTGATTTAATTATTATTTATTACTATGATTATTTATTTTCAGAGCACTTGAAATAGTACGTGATTTGAATACATCTGAATCGCGTAAGAGTAAATTTACTGAAATGGCTTTACAAAGAATTCTTGATAGTCATTTATCAGCAAAATATTCATATCTTGGACGATTAGGTTTGATTATTTATCTTTAAAGAAAATTATACAATTAAAATTTTGTTGTTCTTAAAGAAAGTAATAATATAACAACAGATGGATTTTATGATATGGGACCTGTTCGAGATGGTGGAAAATTTTTAACTATTGAAGAACTAGCTGCTGAAGAAGTGAATGATCGTCGACCAATTTTACTTGTATATGCACCTGAAAAAAAGTAAGAGAGCGCTTTCTTTTTTTTTTTTCATTTGGCTTTTTTTAATCAACATTAAAACAAAAAACACATTTTTCCACAATCCCAACATTTTTTGCTTTACACACGATCAATGTTGTATCACTTATAGAACTAAAGTCATTATTGTTACACCTACACAAACTGATTCGTAAGTATTTTTTTGGTTCATTCAGAAAAATCATTATATGTTGCATGTCTCTTTATTTCGATCATTATTTTTTTTTTTTTATTAATTATTTCACTCACACATGTTTTTACGCTATAATTAATGTGTGTGAATTTGTGTGTTTCTTTTTTATTCAGTATTACTCAATGGACTACTACAGGAGGATCTTATGAAGATGATATTTCTCGAGTGCCATTTTCTTCTGATGATAATCTTTCTACATCAGCAATGCCGGTGTAGGTTTTTGGTTTTCTTCTCATTTCTATTCTATGTCTTGTTTGATGATAAATTTTTAAAAATAAATTAATTCATTTTTAATATAGGAAAGGTTCGGAAAGCAAAGAAAAAATAGGTACTCCTACTACTACACGTACTGCAAAAACACCAAAAGCATCGAGCAAAGAGAGAGATGGAAAAACGTAAGTTTACTTTTCTTTTTTATCATTTAGTAATCTAGTTAGACAAGCTATATCTAATCTGCAGCTCTGTAGATCAATCCAGGTATGAAAAGGATGTTAGAATTAAAATTTATTATGCTTTATTAACATACATATGCATGGCTTTTTCTTCCTTCTTCAACTACTCACTTAATTTTTCTTTTTTTTTTTATGCGATGAATTTAATGTTAGTCCTAGAGAATAATTAATGTTTTAATTTTAGTCGTACAAAAAAAGATAAAACAAATGAAAAACGAGATTTATCGGAAGATAAAAAACACAGTGAAAAGGATGTATCTGGAACAAATAATTCTGATTCGGTAGGAAATTTTCTTTTGTTTGATCTTTGTTTTATTGGTTATTTTTTTGTTTTCTATATAAAGAAATCAGGTTATAAACTAACCACAGATCAAGATTTTCAAATGTATCTTGATGAAATTCAACCACAAGTTACAAAAGTACCATTATCAGAACAAATATCAACTTTAGCAAGGTAAAATATAAATAATTTTTATTTTATATTTAATAATTTTTATTTTATGAAGATTTGTAAGTGAAAAAATGGGTGGTACAATTTCACCTGATGATGTAGCTACATTTGGATATGAAGTAGCAATGAATCAATTAAAAACTGAACTTCATTCAAATGTTATACCAATTGGTCGAATACGAAAAGGTATTCATGCTCAACGAGCGTTTTTATTCAAAGTAAATATATTTCAAAAAAGAGAAAAATTATAAAAGAAAGAATTTTTATTATATAGACATTAGCTGATCGACTTGGAATACCGTGTACATTAACACGAGGCAATTATAATCGTGCTTGGAATGAAGTTATTCTTGGTCAATCATCTGGGGTATGTTATTATATTAAGAGTATATCTCTTTTTTTTGTAAATTTTATGGATAGTTAAATATTAGCAAAAACCTAGAGAAATTAAAATATGTCAAATGCATCAGAACTCAATAGTTTTTTTATGTGTTTGGCTTCTTTCAATTTTTATATCCTTCTTTGATACTTTGAAAGATAGATTTATCTATAAGACTATCGTATGAATATGTCAAAAATAACTTTTTACTCCAATATTGAATTGCCGGCATTTGATACCTTTGCAATAATATAATAAGAATTTTAGTTTATCTTGAAACTTGAACGTTTTTTTTTATTTACAATTTTAAAAAAGTTAAAGTTTAGATTGAAAGCTTTCGATTATACATGTTGAATAAAGATTCTAATCCAATGACAAATGATGATCAACATTCAATGGATAAGATAATAAAATGTAATCCTTTTGATGATGAATCTATTGAACGAATGCATGAATCATTAAGAAAATTAGAACATACATATTTGAAAAATAATGACAAACAGATATCATTCTATAATTCAGTTTGTGACAAAGAAAAATCAATATTACATGACAAATCTATACAATTAGTATGTCTATTGCATGTTAAATAGGATTTTGCTTATTAATTTTATTTTTCTTATTAAATGTATTTAATATATTAACGATTATTTTGATGTTTTAGGCCGTTCGATATCCAGCTAAAACATGGATTGTCGATTTACTTCATGAACCAGGTCGACTACTTCTTGCTAATTCTTCTGATGCTCGAATTTACACAATACTCTCTTAAAACTAATGACTCATAAACGTTGTAATACATCCGGTGGATATCATATTTTGAATCTACCACATTTCTTTTTTCTTTCATGCTCATGAATAACTTGTTCGATTTTTGATTTGTACGACTATTGAAAAATACAGTGATTTGACATGCGCATAATAAGTTGTGTCATGTCATTTTAAAAAATTATCTACATATGATTTTTATTTTTAGTTATATTATTGTTTGTAAGCTGTTTGTTTCTATCTCTTTATTGTTATGATATTATTGTCTTAGGGTAAATGAAATTTTACATGATTAAGTTTACTAATGAGTCAGTAAATCCCAAAAATTCATTCGTCAACTTATGATCATTTTTAAATATATATTTTTGTATCGATTTAATTTTAAAACACAGTAAAATAACCTATTTAGTTTTTAATAGTAATATTCTGTCGTTCGATTATATTTTGAATCTATTGAATGGGATGAATAATTAGTTAAATTTAATTTATTAGTTCATTCTTTTAAAATTTTAATTAAAATATGAAAAATAAATTTTTTGATGATTCATATTTTCTAATTCAAAGCAATTTCATCACAAGTTTTTTTTTTTTCATAAACTTATATTCGTATAATTGAAAACGAAAACAAATTGATAATGATGTAAGAAAACTACTATTTTGTAAATAGAAATCTGAATTTATCAACAAAACTTTTTCTTGTGCTGCCTCATCTTCTTATTTCATGAAATTAAGTCAAATGAATAAATAATATTTGAATACTATCAGATACACTTATACTTCTTTCAATATAGTATCGAATATTTATTTTTTTAATGAGTATATCAAATAATATTCTATGCATGATGTAGCAGCTTGTGTTAATCACCTATTAAGTTTTCGTTCTCTTTTCTTTGTATACCATGACATATGCGGAACGATTTGCTGATTACTCTATTTATTTTTTCAAAAAAAGAAGTATCATGAAAATTATACTTATCATTCTAATACTTTATTTCTTCATTAATTTAATATCAGTCGTTCAATGGTTCAACTTTCCATTGAATAAACTCTCAAAACTAATAATTTATTCATCGAATATTTATCATTCAAATTTTCATCTCCAACAATTTACATCTGATCAACAGAATCATGTGCGTCCTTTTAATAGGTCCATTGGTCAAGTTATGATTGCCTCTAACAAGAACTCTATAATTCGTTTACTTCTTCAAAAATTTCACACTCGCCCAATATATCGTTTTGATGATACTGGTTTTGTTTATTATCAAAATGATAATATCACAAAGAAAAGTAACCAAACAATTCTATATCAACAACAACATCAGTTTTTCGATAACCTTGTAACTTTTCATCCAGTTAATCGTGTCAATAATAATACATATACAAACATCATTGATCCAAAATTTCACTTTTTTCTTTCTATTGCTAAAAAAACTACAACATCTATTAATCATGTTGATCATCGTGTTTTCCCTCGAGTTCTATTATTAAAATTGCTTGCTGCTGCCTTAAAACATAATAATTCATCGATTATTAAAAATAAAATTCAATCATTTCGAGCTCGATCTGTACTGGAAAAAGCAATTATAAAAGGTGCAAAACAAAATCTTCAAGGTTTTACAACAAAAGCAACTAACAATAATGGTCTTCAATATCAACAACGTATTTTAGACGATTTTTACAATCAACAACAATTAAGAACATTTGATCAAAATACGAATGAGAGAAATGCTACAGATATTCATTTAAATATGAATTCAGTTTTGAAAAAACGAAAACCACGAACTGAAGAGGATAATAGTTCATCGAAAATATTTAATAATATGATTTTCGTACGAGATGCACCTGTAAATCAAGAAAATTTTAATCAGTATTAACATGAAAATAGTTTATTTTCAGTCATTTTTTTTTTCAAAGTAATCAATATATTTATTTTCTTTTTATTTATTTGAAAAATAAACCTTTGATTTTGGAAATGTATCATATCGAACAATATCTATATTATAGATCTTCTTTATAAGAAATTATTTCAAAGTTTTCAAGATCTTGATATAGTGAGTGATCGAAAAATAATTAGATAAAATGTTCTTTTGTTTTTTAACCTCGTAAAAAAGGAGCCTATAGAAAGTTGAAAACATTGGGTTACAATTAGAACTTCGTTTTCTTTTTGAATATTGGCTCAAAAATTTTGTAGAGCTTCGTGTTGAGAAGTTATGAGCAGACCTGTTCGAAACCCGTGAATTAATTTCGGACAAACATCAGTGCTACAAAAACTAACTAAAGAAAAAGCGAAAATTATTGTATATACAAAGAACGAAAGAGTAAACATTTCTGAACTCGAAGATAGAGCAAAAATAGTAATGAAACAGCTTGAGAAATTTTCTGATGATTTAATTCTTCCGGTGAATATATTGAAAACGAAAGCGATGCTAGTGCACAATGTAGTTTCCCCCTTATACCCAAAAATCTTTTATAAAGATCAACTAATTGAATATGTGAAAACTTTTAAATACTTAGGGATACATATAACAGTAAAATTGGGATGGGAGAAATATATAAATGAAAGAATCAAATCAATAAGTAAAATACATAATGCTATGAAAATAATCTGTAAAACAATTAAGAAAAAAGATGTAATAACTCGTAGGAGAATATATTTAGCATATGCCCTTCCGCATTTTATATGGTTATTTAGTACCTGGTTTTTCTTTACGGAAAGACAAAAAGAGAAGATAGCTCACGTTTACTGCACCGGTTTAAGAATAGTTTATGACCTACAGGGTTGGGATGATATAACAACGCTAGTTCTTTCAAGAGAAAAATCGTTATACGATTATATATACGAATATTGGCGCCGACTGGTACTTCACTTACTTACTGCAGATGAAGCTTTAGCATTCCAAATGAATTGGAATGAATATTTAAATATAACTAAACCCGATAAAAACTGGTTTAAAATACTAGGTATAAGAAAAAATAATTTCTTTTTCAAGCGTTTACGTCTACAAGTTAAACATACCATGATAGATTGGTTAGAGTTTGAAAATGTCCATGTCAAGCAATATGAATATTATAAAAAAACAAATAAAGAAATTTACCTATTCATATACAAATATTTTATCGAGAATCCAATGGACTATTATTGATCGGTCTATTATTCTTCCATTGTATACCACTTTTTTTTTTTTTTGTTTTTTTTTCTTTTTCTTTTTGTTTGTTTATTACGTTTGTTGTCTTTCTTTTTTTGTTTGTTTCTCTGCTTTTTCCTTCTCTCACCTTATATCCTACCTCTTATAAGTTGTATATCAGCGTGTACACTGTCATCGTAATACTTTTCCTTTCATTAAAGGTCGTTATATTCTCACTTTCCTCTCTCGATTCGGATATCTAGTAAAATACCGTCTGTGCTATTACTCCATTTCTTATTACTACTATAGAATACTGACTCAGGTGAACATTAACAGATGTAATACTAAAATAATGGTATTATATTATACCAAGTACTTTCTCTAGTCTTTCTGTTGTCTTGCTCTCTCTCGTCCCTTTTTTTTTTCTCTCTCTCTTCTTATTATTATAACCTGTGAACCAGGATAAAGGGCACAATAAAAGTATATGTTAAAAAAAAAAAAAAAAAAAAAAAGAGTAAACATTTCTCGATGAAATAGTATAAAAATCATTAGTTTGTTGCAAGTCCTTTATCGACAGTCAGTATTTTTTAGGTAAGGAACACCGTGTCAATTTCGGCGATTTTCTCGATTTCTATGAAAAACAAACTTGTAAAGTGAGCTCGATCATTCTTAAATAATTATTCTACAATTCTTGATTCTTATCAGATATGAGCAAGTCAAATTTGACTTGATTTGCCCAACACTGATTCTTATATCACTTTGTCGAGAACAATCTCGTTTTTAACTAAATGGTGAAAAATCGGTAATATAACGTATGCAGTGAAGGAGATTATTGCCGTAAAAAAAGACAATTGTCCTACGTTCAAACTTAATTTTCGTACCTCTAAAAGTTCGATGAAGTTCTAAAGACATGTTCAACCTATAATCATAAATGATACAAAATTTTAATTCAAATCCAATGTTTTCAAATTTCAGCAAGCTCTTTCAAACGATTAGAAAGTAAATGAAAGTTTTGTTTCATTTAATTACGTTTCCATTACCCGTTACCTTAGTTTCTTTTTCAATTGTCTGTTTTCATAAAATTAAAAGAAAACAATCTATTCGAGCTCTAATAAAGTTATGTTCATTTTTAAATAAAACATAACTTGAAATGTTACAGAAAAACAAAAAAAAACAAAAAACAAAAGACCAAAAAACAACAAAAACTAATTACTTGAATGATAATAAAAACATTTCGACTATTACATATACACATAAATACAAAAAAAAACAAGGAATGTAACTCAGATTAAAAATATCTTAACAATCGTATGATCAAATTTATTTGCTGGTTATTATTCCGAGAAATATTTGCCTGATGATAAATTCACAATGAAATATTAATCTTTATAATTATTGATTTAATTTAATATTTTCGTTGTCGTTTTGCATAGAATATTTCTTCATTAGTATATGGATGTTGTCGTTCATCATTTAAGAGTTGATCCATACGTACTCTTAATTGATGATTATTATGATGTAATTCATTTAATTCAATAGAACAGTTTTTTAAATCAACTCTACATCGATCAAAATCATGTTTTAATAATGTCATATTATTTATTACTGTTTCATGTTGAGCACGTAAACGTACATAATCATGTTCACATATATTTAATTTTTCTTCGGTTAATTGTCGTTTTTTTCGTTCAAGTAACAGTTCACGAACTAATGCTTGAACAAAAGGTGGATGTTGTTCAGCATTACTTATGATTTCATCAATTGACATAGTTAAAAACGGTGGATGATGATGATAAGGATATTGTCTGTTTGATTGAACTAAATATTAGCAGAAAAGAGTTTTTAATAATTTATAGAAAAATACTTACTTGAATGATGATGTCTTTCATTAGAATCAGCTCGTCTATCATAATCCTTTGATCGATCATTATTTCGATTTTGTTGAGTGTCGCGTTTGTTCACTTGAGAATGTGAACGTGAACGTGATTGATGACGTTTATGATGATAATGAGACATTATCTAGAAATAGTATATGATCGTTTATTTTTGAAGAAAAAAAGTCTATATATTCGAGAAATATTCACACCAATAGACATCACGAAAAAAAGCAATAAATATATTAGCTCAAAGAAATTTTTTGTACTATCAAAGTTACTGAAATGATTTCTGGCATCAAACTGTTACTATGTAAGAGTTTTGTTAACAGACTTGAATCAAGATTTTCCTGAGACGACAATAATCGATTGATCATTTCAATATCTAAATGTGTCCTTTTTTTTTAGTAATGATTTATTTTATACTAAAAAGATATGTTCAAAGTTTTGTTGAAATCGAATTCAAAATATTTGACTATTGATCTTAGATGAATAACTATTATATCATTTCAGGAATAAGATCAAGATATCATTTTAGTAGAACGGTGTATAAGTGAGCTAAATACAGGAATTCTCATATTATAACCATTATCCTAAAGTATTGACTTTAAGCCTGCTAGTTTTTAATTTAAGCTATTATAGGTATACTGAGAAGCTGTTTTTTCTTGTTGTCAAATATTCTTTTTAGACAATTCAGACAAAAAATAAGTATGTTTTCTTTTGTTTTTGTTCTATATTTGAGATTTCTTATAAATAGAATTATTTTTTTTTATGTTGTAGGCTCTCTTTTTATTTAACTTCTCTTGAATTTAATTATCATTTGTTATTGAAAACATGACATTAATTCAAAAATGCATGGTTTCATGTGAATGTATAGGCCTTTTCTTTTTTCATCATTGAAAAAAAAGCATAATTGTAAAGTAATATGCTCGAATAGACACTATGTATCATATTTAAATGTATTACTTTAAAAAATGAATATGAAACTGAGATCATTAGAAAAAAAATATCAAGTAAATAAAAAAATTTCGTCGATTATTTCTAGTTTTTCAAAATAATATGACCAAAAAAAAAATCATTAAGACTTTGGTGTACATTCCGTCTATATATAAAAGTCATTATTTGCCTCTTTACAAATTGGTAGGAAATAAATTTCTCAGCATTTGAAAATTCATTCTATACTAAAATCATAGTTCTCAAGTTCTGTCAAAATCTACTAAAAACAGAGTATATCATATTGTAAAAATATTCTAGACAGAAAAATAATTTTTACTCTTGAAACTGAAATAGACAATATTCTATTATCAATAAAGTTACAAATACAGATAGATTTCTTAAAAAAATGTAAACAAATAAAATTTTGAAAATATCTTCTTAGATAAGACACAAATCTAGAATATAATGATGAGTAGACAACTATTATAAAACAGAAAAATAAACTCACAAACATAATTTTAAATTTCATAAACAGTTATTACTTATGTTAGTAATAAAATTATGATAATATTATTGAAACTCAAGTGTTTCATTAAAACATAAACATATTAAAAACAAAGTATCATCAGTTAAATATTAAATTTATATCTACTGATGCAAAATAGAAAAAACATATCAATCATAATCATAGTCGGAAAAACCCAAGTAACACTTGTCCAATAATCAAAAAGGTGTAGATGTCTCTGAATGTAATTCATAATCGAATATGGTACTGGCGGTTGCTAAGAAAAGCAGGTTGAATAACAAGTAAAGGAAGATGGCAATGGCTTGTTTTGACGTATAAGACGATGACTTTCCTCTCCTTAGATGTATGTAAAAATGCGCTGATTAAGAAACTTTTCAAGTTAATTTTTTTTTAGAAATTTGTTTAAAAAAATA